ACATAGCTGAATCCAAAGTCAACCAAACCGGCCACTAACTGTCCACCAGTGACAGCTACATTGCTAAGCACAGTGATTCTCCCCCTATAACTGGAAGGGGAGCATTCAGCTAGATACATAGGAATTGTCATGCTAGCTAAACCTATAAAATAAAATATAGCATTATAGTTTAAACCATGCAACCTGCCATTCAAGCTCACCTATTCCAATGCCAACTATGAATCTTCCAATTAATATTATGATCCAGCCCCATGCACTAATAGGAGCGGCAGCCATTGATATAGCACCAATAGTGAATAAGAAGGATGCAATCATAATGGTTGGTCTTCTACCCAATATTTCATTACTTGGTCCACCTAGTACTGAACCAAGTGCTGCAGCTCCTATTGTTACACTCACCACAAGCTCCTTCTGCAGGGAAGTTAATGTGTAGTCATAGTCCTTATCCAGTATCAGGAGAGCACCAGAAATAACACTAGCGTCGTAGCCAAAGATGAAACCACCAATAATGGAGAAGATAGTAACAGTGGCTAGGGAAGTGGTCAGTTTAGTGATTGGTTGACTTTCCTTTTCTATCCACTCCTCTCCATTCTCATTTTCAGTCCCCTCTCTGATTTCTTCAGCGAATAACAATAATAATTTGTCTTCATCTCCATCAGTTTCAGCCGAAGTTTCAGCCTTTATCCACTTCACTTCATCCATTAAACATTTTGGCCTGGGCTAGCTAGCTAGCCAAACCCACAATGGGCGGGAAGAGAAGTCATGTGACCATTTCAAACTTCCTCCTTTCAATTCTTTCTTTGTCTTGCTCTCTGGAACACAAAGGGGCCAGCTACTCTCAACTACAGGTGAATTGGAAGTAAGTCCAGCGGATTTCTTTAGTTTAAACTTGTCTCTCTTAGTAGATCTATCCGCCACAATGCCTACCAAGCAAAGAATGAGACTTGCCAATCAAAAACACAGTCAAAATGTCAACCACAGAGGAAATGTAGCCAAGAGCCTGGTATGATATAAGGACCTTTTATTATCATTATAATTTTAATGTATTGATCAGAAACCAACTGAAGATAAGAGTCCAATTGGCCCATACCTTCTTGCCTTCATCATATTCGTGGTCTGTGGTTCAGGTATGATTATTATAGATTTCATTTTGCTCACAATTCTAATTGTTTCAGTTTAATAATGATAATAAGTTGTCATTTAACAAATTAGACAAATGGCAGATGACATATTTGTGTTGAAACAACCATTTTATTTATTATGCAGCAGTGATTCTGCTCAAAATGATGCAGTAGACACTTCACCCTATCCTTAACAAGAAAGAGTAAATTAGTTTTGGCATAATTTATGTTTATTGTCACTATTTCCTCTCTCTGAGTAAAGTACCTAACACCAATTTCCTGATATTCAGTGTGTGTGTGTGTGTGTGTGTGTGTGTGTGTGTGAAGATTTGTTGTTGTTTATAATCATTGTTCTTTTTTGCAGCCATCTTCCAAATTGTTCAGAGTATTTGGGCAGCTTAAGAAACCTCTCCATATTACAACTGTAACATCATTATCAGACTATACTGTATTATTTCGAAAGCTCATTAATTACTATTATTACTAATTATTATTATTTTATTATTATTATTATTGTTATTATTATGTATTGCCTCGTACATTGTTTATCCCTTAATGCATCAAAAATAATTATCATAATTATTATTATAATAATTATAATTTTATTAATAAAATTATTAATTCTTGATAATGTCTATTATTTTAAAAATCTAGAGTGCATTAAAAATCCTTTCCTGTTCAAGCTCCCACTAACAAACCTATAGCATCGACTAAAAGGGCTACAGTTAAGAGACAGAGCCTGTGGCCGGTATATCTTTGATGCAACGTACGGGAGCCTCCAGAGAACAGGAGATAAGATAAGACTAAGTGCAGTCACACTCAGCAACACCAAGTAAGTCTGGAGTAGGAGATCATAATAACATTTATTTATACCATATAAGGCTGGTATATACTATGACTACAGTGTGAAATTTTAGGCTTATTCTTGCAATTTGCAAATACTAATGGTAAACGTTTTCTTTTAGACAGTAATACTGGTCAATTTTGCTAAAAGATAAATCATAAAATTTCTTATAAGAAGAGCTAAAGTATATACTCCCCAGCAGCAATTAATTCATGCAAAATTAAAAAAGGGACTTACTTCACGAGTGATAATGTTAAGACGTCTTCCTCTACTACACAGTACAATGGCAAACTCGCTAACGTGGGCCATGGTTAGAGACGTAAGCCACGTCACCTGACGAAAGAATCCCGCCATGTACCCAACCAGGAACAAGTTAACCAAAAACTAGCAAAAAATGAGAGTCAAGTGTGTTGTATACCTACACATTGTGTACATATAACAGACACCACAAATGATGTACAATTACAGAGAGAGAGAGAGAGAGTCAAAAAGCAATATAGTATTACCTTGAATGAAAAGACACAAAATGTGATGGAGAAGATGGTGAAAAACTCAGATATGAGGAATGTAGGAAATATTTGAAATCCTAAAAAAAGAATTGTTTCACGAAATAAAATCTTTTAAAATTATAAAAGTGACCAGTCATTTACCAACTGATGCAAAAAAGAGAGCAGAGAACAAATCCTTTATTGGCTCGACTAGCTTTCTGATCTGATAATAACAACAACTATTATTAGTAACTGAACACAATTATGGGTCATTACCTGTTCCACAATATTATTACCTAAAGTACTGATTGATACACCAGCTAAAAAGCAACCAAACTCAAGAGAAGCTCCAAGTAACAATGAGACCTAAAATACATAAAGATACAATCAAGTAATGGATGCTATATTGCTATGATGATTACTGCTAGTAGAAGGAAGCAAATTGTAAGTGATCCAAGGAGTATTGCCTCATCTTTGTTTTTAATCGAAGACAATAATTTAAATGTTGGCTGAAGAACTTTGTGAGATAGAAAACGAGTCAGAATGAGGAGGAGAAAGAACCCAACAAGTATCTACATAATATCAAGAGTACATAATATAAAGTACATATTTATAATATAAAGTACATATTTATAATATAAAGTACATATTTATAATATAATATAAAGAGTACATACATAATATTATAATTATACTCTTGATAATATGTATATAAATATAATATGAATGTCACGCCTGAGTCACATTATCATAATAATCATAATGAGGCTAAAATTATGTCATTGATTATAAATTAAGTGTCCTGGTTGTAGTGAAAAGAAAGTTTGAGCTGATTCTGAGCTCAAATGTTTGAGTTACAGCCATTTTAAAAAATGAGGCATTTTCTAAAAATTGCCCTGTACTATAGCCCATGGATTTTTCCGAAAAATGGCTTCGAAATCACCCCAAATTTTTATTACATTTTCTGATACATATTGATGTCCTTATGCCATGCAGAAAGTTTGAGCTGATTCCGAGCTCAAATGTTCAAGTTACGGCCATTTTAAAAAAATGAACCATTTTCTGAAAATTGCCCTGTACTATAGCCCATGGATTTTTTCGAAAAATGGCTCCGAAATCACCCCAAATTTTTATTACATTTTCTGATACATATTGATGTCCTTATGCTATATAGAAAGTTTGAGCTGATTCCGAGCTCAAATGTTCGAGTTACAGCCATTTTCTAAAAATTGCCCTGTACTATATAGCCCATGGATTTTTCCGAAAAATGGCTCCGAAATCACCCCAAATTTTTATTACATTTTCTGATGCATATTGATGTCCTTATGGTATGTAGAAAGTTTGAGCTGTTTCCAACAAAAAATTTTTGAGTTATGAGCATTTAAAATAATACTAATACACTAGTACCATATGCAATACACTACAGTAAGGCCTCATTTTTAAATCATGCAGTGTAAAAATTTTAAGTAGCATATTGAGATAATTTTTGACATTTTTACTTCTCACTGAACAGCAACATTGTTTTCATTTACTTGTATTAATTTCATGAGACTTGTAAGGTAGCTGATAAAACTAGCCGACCCATTCGAGTGTGAGCTGGCAAAGAATGGCATCAGTGCTACAAGAGATGCCATTTGTATGTCCTGGACAACAAGAAGACCTTGGAGGGATGTCACAAGACTTGACTCAGGCTCTAAAATATAAAGCATAATTATTTTGATTGACCACCCAAGTGTCACATTGGTACAGTTAAATCATGTATTAAATTGACACAATAAAATTTAGGTTTGTTGTTTTATTAGCATGAATTATTAAATATTATAATACAATTAAATCACACAATTCTTACCTTCTAGCGATGATGCTGAAATGGTTTCAACACTAAGCGATCTTTTCTTTGAGCTACTAATAATCACTAAAGTGAAAATCACAGCATAATAGTACTACTAGTTATGAATACATGTACCTTCCATTAAATATTTTATTAAAGTTGCACTGGATAGTGAGAGACAGACGGCTACAAAGAAGCACTGCTTTAGTGACATGCCCAATGGTGTACCAATGATAATGGAGAGTAGCATTAGAACCAAGAGCAACAGAAAAGCAGCATAAAGAGAAAAACGAAATACCTACAAAGCAACAAAAATACTTTTAAAATACCAACATTTAAAAAGTCATAATTGGAAACTTTCAATGACTACACTATAATACAAATATGACTAAAGAGCACAATGTGTACCTATAGCTATAAAGAAAAGGTTTGCATTTATCTACACTACCATCTACTCTTGCTGTAGTTGATGATGATACCTGATAATGGCAGTTGACTCACTTTTTTCAATTTGTCCAAAGAGAATCCCATCCCTGCAATGAATATAATAAAGACAGCACCGAATTCACCGATTGTTTCAACTTGAACAACACACTGTTAAGAAATGAAAGGGTAAACACAACTGTACTGCTTACATAAACACTATACTATTGGATACTTTTAAGTAGCCTACCTTCACAGTATTGTATCCAGCTGGTCCTAATAACATCCCTGTTATTACAAATCCAAAAAGCGTAGGCAGGCCAATGAGACAACACACAGTGCCCAGCAAGGAGCAAAGGACAACCAATAACACAATGTCCTTCACAAGGTGTGGGTCATCTATCAGCACAGTGATATCCCGTGGGCGTGATAAGGTGTACTGGTTGCTAAGGGAGTCGACTAAAAGGACCTGATCTTCTTCCGATTGATCCAACTCACTGCTCTTTATTTTAACGACTGTCTCCACGTCAGTGCCAGTTGCTCCATTCTTTTCAACAAGGTTACGAAATATGTCATCTTTAAGTTGATACTCTAATTTATCGGCTGCTATAGATATCTCTTTTAATATGTCCCCAACGAGCTTGTGGTGACTCTGAGAGAGGTTCTGCCCAACTGCTGCTTTAGTTTCTTCTACTAGTGTAAGAGCCTCATTGTGATTACCAGTCGCATGAAGGACTAGTGATTGGAGTTTAGCTAACCGTGATTCACAGCTCAAGCGAATAATGTCCAACAAATGATAGTCGCTGTAAAGCGTTTGATTTAAACTGGAGAGCACAGTGCTTAGAGCCTCTTGGCTGGCGTTGAGCTCTGATTGATACAATGTTAGGATCCTGGTTTTCAACTCAAGACTGTTGGATGATTGGTTATTTTTGGCATGTTTCTGGCCCTGCATTTCAGTCATTACCTCTGATATGATATTTGTTAGCTTTTGCTTCTTTCTCAGCATAAACTGTATGCCTCCACATGTGAATTGGGTGTGTGGCAGCTGTAGGATAACAGGATCTCTACCGCCTCCGTGATACTGTTGCTGCTTATTGTGTCTGAAGGTTCTATGACTGACAGTTTTATGAGCTCCCTGATTACCAAGGGAGGTACAAATCGTGACTAGGACTAGGGCAAAGAAAAGAAACAGAAGCAACTGCATATCTCTCCCAAGCTAGATGTCTCCCCTAACGACAATACCACACCTCCTCCAAGAAAATGATTGCACGTGGGTGCAGCTATAAATCCATGGAGATTTAAAACTATAAAAAATTATTTGTAATAATAATAATGAATGATGATACAAAACTAATAGCAAAGTCTTCTGATTTCTCTTCTGTTCTTTTCATTCCACAATTCTGTTATTGCAGCAGGGCCTCTTCTCCATGTATTTATCATCAGTGATGGTGTCAAGTTCACTACAAAGTGAGTCCAACCTCGTGGCAGGTATAATACTTCACCAGCTTGCATTGTGAACTGTATTGGATGCGTTTTTGCATACAGAGGATACATTTCAGAGTCTGGCTCATCTCTATTATTTAGGATCTTGCTCCATTCTAAGGAGCCTCTCTCGGCCTTTGTGTAGTATAAGTACTGGTAGTCCTTTGGTGAAAATATTGTCCACTGCTTTTGTCCAATCAACTGATAGACAAAGTTGTCTTTACTGTCAATGTGCCCTTGAGTAAACGTGCCACTAGCTCCTATCCTAGTCGCAATTGAAAATGAAGATTATAAAATGTGACAACAATTGAAATGATAACTGATGTGCATGTGCAAAACAAATCATTCTCCATTGATCTGTATAAATTACCACTATAGCTTACCATCCTGTTGGCTCTAAGAAGCAATGCTGATGGTTTCCAGGATAGAAAGGTGGATAATGAAACTCTTCGTCCAGTGCATTTGGCGGTAAAACCTTTTGTTTAGTTATATAGAGACCTTTTTCATGTTCATTGGGTTGACTTGCACCCGTAACAAGGTCAATAAAACGAGAGAGCCTTACAGAAACCCTGTTAATGCCATGCTTTCCTAGCCTGTTTACTTTTGACGAATAGTTACCTTGACGTGCATTATGAAAAACGTGTTCGCCCCATTTTTGTTTCACCATCTCCCACGACCAGTCATCCAGTTTCGTGCCTGAAAGCATGTCAGTGAATATCACTGGGAGTCCCACCGGTGCAATATAGTTGAGAAACATTTCACTTGATGGTGTAGGGATTCTGGTAATATTCTTGATAGGAGGGAGGAGGTGGCTTAGGAATATAACATAGGCTAAACTGTTTCTCCTTATTTTTTGTTTGCTCAACTGGTTTGCAATATCATCATATTTACTAGTACTGGTATCTCTATTCTCTTCTTCTGGAGCTAGATCTACTGGATCCAGTGCTGCAGCTGCATGACGTACCACAGGCTGCAAATGAGAGGAACTGGTGTCGATTTTCCCATTGAAAAGAATGTACATAAATAGAACAGTCAAAATCCCAAGCCATAAAGATACTAGAGTTGTGACAAAAGTTGTTACTTTACTATTAGTAGCAAGCATAGCCTTCCAAAATCTTTGGAGAGTATGCCTGGAAACGCCCACTCTAGTAGATATAGCCACGCCTATTTTTATTAATAACAGGTCTACATATACGGAAGTATCCTGATATTTTTACCACGCCCAAAAGTGAAAATGGTAGGCCTATGTTCCTTTTCCCCTCCTTTATTGATGTTTCTCTTCCTCAATAGATTCAGTTTATGCTCCTGTTCAGTCGTCAAGGAAAACTCCGTCTCCAGAAATGGTACAGTGCCTACCAGCAGAAAGATAAAAAGAAGATTTCTCGAGAACTGATTTCCACCATATTGGGCCGCAGATCGAAAATGTGTAACATTCTTGAGTATCGTGAATACAAGATAGTCTACAAAAGGTACCGATATAACTTAGAACCTTCAAATTGCTTTGTTATTTCATTATTGGGCAGAGTTTATATCATTTCGCTCAGTTTCATTTTTAGCTTATATATGTTGATCCCTTATAACTGGTATTTTGAATTACTATACTTTAAAGGTATGCTAGCCTGTATTTCTGTGTTGCTGTTGATCCTGATGACAATGAGCTGATAACTCTTGAAGTTATACACAGATACGTCGAACTCTTAGACAAATACTTTGGCAGTGTATGTTAATTTCTATACTCTTACTTGTACTGTATGACTGTTTGTTACACTTTAGGTATGTGAATTGGATATTATTTTTAACTTTGAGAAAGTAAGTATTATAAAATATCATAAAAGCTGTAGTTTTTGCTTAATTTCAGGCGTATTATATTCTCGATGAGCTGTTGGTTGGAGGGACCATTCAAGAAACTAGCAAAAAGAACATCATAAGAGCAGTGACAGCTCAGGACATGCTTCAAGAAGTAAGTCATGTTTGGATAGAATTCTCCATTTTTATTAGTTTTTTTTTCTGATACATGTACATGTTCTTTCGTTGTTTTTAAAGTTTGAGCTGATTACAATCCAAATTATTGGTTTTTATATTATGTTCCAAAATCAGGCAAAAGTCCCTGTACTATAGTACACAGCCTTTGGCCAAATTTTAGCAAAAATTGCTAGAAGAGAATTTTCTATTTTAAATTTTTTTTCTGATACATATACATGTTCTTATGTCGTTTTTAAAGTTTGAGCTGATTACAAATAAAATCAGATTTTTTACGAATTTTCGAAGTTGCTAAAAAATCAGACAAAAGTCCCTGTACTGTAGTAGTACATGGTAAAATATGACTAAAAGAAAATTCTCCAATTTATATTATATCAGGATCTATTCCAGTTCATTTATTGGCATAATTTACGCATTCATTACAGCATGGAATTACATTAGAACATGCATGATACCTAGTCAGTTGCTGGCTTGCCTATAGAATCATGGTGCTCTGGGATTCTCATAGTCTGAAATAGTCCTCTTATTTATCTTCTTGCACACACACACTTATTCTAGGAGACTGAGAATCCTAGAAGTACACAAGGCGTGCTAGAAGAAATGGGACTAGCATAGTTTATGATTAGACTTACATTCCGAAGCCATCCTCTTGTTATTTATTAATAGCTGCCATTTTTCCTTATTGCCATTTTATTTTATCCTTTTATTAAAAAAACGAAAACCATCCATTTAATGTGAATAAAGTGCAGGCTATATATAAATTGATCTTTATTATCTTCTACACAGAAAGAGGGTCACAAGAACTTGCTTATTGAGGCCGACCTTATATAGAATGAAAAATCCTTCCAAGTGTATGACTGTGTGTGCATAATGAATTTAATAATGTGATTCATGAGTTCTGTGTGTGTGTGTTTGTGTGGAATTTTTTACTTCACTAATCATTTCTCCAGGTATAACTTTTGTTTTATGTATGAAAGAAATAATATGAATGAGTCTAATTTGCTAAAAGGATCACTGGTGTTGCTCAAATCTTCTCAATCTTGCATTTCTTAGTCTTTCTTCGCTGTGTCCTGTACCAGTAGATCTACTACTGTTGGGACTACCATTATCATCTTCATCATAGTCGGGATTATAAGGTGGGGGTCTCTCGTAGTCATTCAAGCTCCTTCTAATACCTTCTTGTAGATCAGAATCTTGTTGATCAGACTCATTTCTTCTTTGTCCTAAATACATAATGTAATTATTAAATATACCAGTAGTTAGCTTTTAAGGACACTCTAATTAAACTCAGTTTTCACTACTTACCTGATGGGCGAGCTGTATAGTTATAAGACTGTCTGCCAATGTTAGCTCCACTGATTCCTGATGTTACTATTCCCCATGGTACATCCATTATCATTTTAAGAGGTCCGCTAACAAAAGCCAAACCAACCAATATCCCAGCCAGATGACCAATGAACGAAGCATTAGGATTAAGGACTGATATTAATAATAGCTCTGCCCACACGGCTAGCTTACTGGGTATACCTATTCCAAATACATAGCTCATGTGGTTAGGCTGCAAGTGTGTGGTTAGGACCTTCACTGCAAATATAACGCCTGAGAAACCAACGGCACATCTATTGTAGTATGACCAGTCAAAGTATTCAGCTAAATGAACGTTTAAGATAAGATACACACCACTGGTCAGTAGAGTGAACATGGCTATCATGTATGCAAAGTACAAGCTACCATATCTCTTTTCAAGTGTCCTTGCCTTCCACATAAAGGATATCATGTTGTAATAAAGATGCCACGAGTCAGCGTGGATAAAAGGAGCAAGAAATAGTCTCTCCCATTGGCCGTAATACCAGACGTTTTTAGCACTGATGCAACTCTCTGATACAGATGGCCAATGAAATGAACGGGCAAACCTAAGGCTACGTACCCCTCCTACCTGTGGCCTAATGAATGCCAACACGTTGACACCCAGCAGCACAAGCGTTGTAGGAAGAAACTCATTGTGTGATGAGAGTAACTGAATAAATCCAGCAAGCTGGAAGAACAGGAGCATCAAACCAAAGTTACCACCACCGCCATAACCTCTCCTTGGTCTTCTCATTTTTTGGATTTTTGCTGCTGTTTGTCACGCCCAAAGGTGCGGTCTAACAAGGGTGGGGCTCAACACGCAAAAAAGACAATATGGATCAACAACAAGCTCAAATTTGGTCTCAGCTTTCTCCTTACCAGCAATTCCAGCTCTTACAGCAGCAAAGCCTATTATCACAAGGTAGTAGATGTATAAACGTAGCCTTTATTTTTATACTTGCTGTTGCTGCAGGTGCCTATTATGATGATCTTGCTCCTGAGGACACTGAATGGTTTACCGAGCCAGCCCCTCCTGATCCTCCGGATACTGCAGTCACTGAATACATGTACGAGCGATTAGCACATACTGCTCTAGATAGCTGGAAACTTTATCAAAATGAGAAAGAGATGAAGAGAATTAACAGTCGACTCAGCCAAAGTGGCAGAGGTTTGGGCGAGACTTCTGACTTAAAGGGATTGATAGACACAAAAAGTAAAGTGGTTGACATACTAATGCACCACAAGTTACTTAACTAGCAAAATAAACAAGATGTGCTTTTAAAACCTAAAACTCTCATGTTCATTTTTAGAACTTTCCGGTTTGTATAAGGCGGCATTTAAAGGAGATGCAGCTGGAATTATGAACATTGTTAAGGTAATAGTGATATATTGTTACATCTGATGCTTTGCTTTATCCAGAGAGATGGTCGTAATGCACCTTTGAATGAATTAGATAAAAATGGATGCACACCACTGATGTATGCAGCATTATCCGATTCTGACTCAGCAATTGAAATGTTACTTAATTTGAGTGTCAGAAGAGAGCAAGTAAATAAGTGCAAGGCATTATGCTTGCTTGATGCTTATTCAGGTCGATGCTGTTGGACGTACAGCAGTGCATTATGCTGCTTTTTTTGGTAAGGCAAAATCACTCAAGTTTTTGATAGAATCTGGTTCAGATTGGACTCCAAGGTATGCTAACCAACAATGAGTAGTACTTTGAATGATATTACATCATTAGAGATGCATATGGTCGAACTCCCTTACATTGGGCAACTGCTAGCAAAAACACTAAATGCCTCCTAACGTTGCTAAATTATGCCAGGTAGATAATTTTTTGAAGCTTTTATTTTTAAATCTCGAATTTAGCATTGTTAACGGCAACATTAATCCTCAAGATAATGAGGGAATGACTCCAGTACACTGTGCTGCTCAATTCGGCTCTGCTAAGCATATAACACTAATGATTGAAGGTATAATAAATGCTTGCACAGTAGTAACATAATTAATATTTTTTATAGCCAATTGTGACTTTTCTCTTGTTGACATTGAAAGAAAAACAGTTCTTCATTGGGCAGTGGAAAACAAAGACATGAGCTCCTTGCATGCAATAGTTAATCACAGCCCTTACCTTCTGAATAGACAGTATGTTGGCAATACAGTGCATGAAGATAAGACTATATTCAATCTACAGAGATATCAATGGTCAAACTCTTCTCCACATCTCATCAAAGAAAGGCAATGGGCCTCTAGTTGAGCGATTGCTAAACATTGACGGGTAGAATAAAAATTATTATTGATTATTATCATTATTATTATTATTATTCCATCAGAATTGAAATAGATACTAGAGATAAGCAAGATTGTACTCCATTGCTTTTGGCTACAATGGAAGGACACAGCAATGTAGTGGACTATCTTTTAGACTTTCATGCCTTGGACTCTTGCATTGATGCTTCAGGGTTAGTGAATTTGCTATTTTTAGTTCAGTTTATTTCATACCTCACTCTTAGGCTAACTGCTTTGCATTATGCAGTGCAAATCAATTCGGTCAATTGTGTTAAATTGCTCGTAGAAAATGAACATGCTACTCACATTCCATCTGCTAATGAGCAAGGTTTATTGCCTTTGAGTTTGGCTGCCATTTTTGGTTTTAGTGACATTATAAAGGTAATTACTGAATACTGTACACTCTTTATTGCTTTTGCTATAGGCACTGCTTGTAAATCCTCATATAGCTAATGACATAAATCGTACTGATTCTAACAGATTGACAGGTAATTTGTACATGCATGCATGTCACATGCTAATAATTGATCCTCTTTCCTAGCAATGCATTATGCCTGTGAAGGTGGATTCTTTGATTGCGTGGTCACATTGTTACAGCACGGGAGCGACCCTAACCAGCTGAACAACGAGAACATAACTCCATTAGACATTGTCTGTGAGAATGGATTTTACATCTGCATTGGACCAGTAAGTAGTAAATCATATCATCTTTATGTATCATTAAATACCCCATAGCTGATCAATGGAGGGGCAGAAGCTGAAAGGATCGGTAATGATGGATGCAGTGTCCTTCATAAAGCCATTTTGTCTGAGAACTCAGAAATACTGAAAGCTCTTATAAATGCCAATTGCAATGCTGAAGTTCCAGACAGTAATGGACGAACACCATTAGAAGTAAATAAGTATAATAATAATAATAACAATGATAAATGACTGTTTTATAGCTGTCAGTGTACATTGGAAACAAGGATATAACAGCATTACTATTGCAGTCATCAAATGCCGATCCAAATGCTATGGTAAGTCAGTCATCATAGTGTAACCAAATGGGACCTGTAGTTATTCTTAGGATGCATACGGTTTAACAATGTTGCATATTGCTGCTAAAGAAGGTAAACATGAGATTTTACAATTATTGCTTGTGAACAATGGGTATATCAACAGCATGGATGCTACGGAGGATAGGTTAGTTAGTATACTCAATAGAGTAGAATGTTAAATGATGCAACTTGGCATTTTTTGTTGATTAGATACACTCCATTGGATTATGCAATCCAAGGAAATCATTTTGAGTGCATGACTACTTTGAAATCAAAAGGAGGAATGACTGTTGATGAAATAAGAACAATAGCAGCAGTTTGGATTCAGTCATCATATAGGAAATACAAGTACTTTTATGAAAATAGCAAAGAATAATAATGCATGTTTTTTTAGAGCCATGAAGTTGTTAAAGAAACTACGAAAAGAAAGATTAGCTGCCGTCTGCCTTCAGAGAATATGCAGAGGATTTATTGAGCGTAGGAGAGTTAAAAAGTTGCAGAAGGAGTTGAAATCTTCCATAATAATACAAGCCTTAGTGAGGTAAAATTGAAGAAACTTTTATCTTGTAACTTTTATGCATTATTTAGAGGATTTTTGGCACGAAGATCATACCAAAAGCTTTTGCAGAAACGCATTGAGGAACAAAAGAAGCATCAGCTCATTGAAGAATTTGGACAAATGTTTATTGGCCTGCAAAGGATTGAGCCAATTGTGATAGATGCAGATGAACTACACATGAAAGCTAAGGATAAAGACCATGAAGGGGCTAAGAAGGAACAGCGATTTAGGATTGAGCAGAGTATGAGAATGCGTGAGAGATACATGAAAGAGCAGAAAGAATGGGAAAGTTTTCGTTTGTCGGAGAAACAGAGAAGAATAGAGAAAGCATATCAAGAGGAACAATCCCAACTGATGACAATCATTGAGAATAGCAAGCAGAGACGGAAATACTTTGAAGAGAAATTCAAGTACACCATAACAATACAGTGTTACCATCATGCAGCAGTCGTGATCCAGAGAGCATATCGGAAGGCAATAACAAGGAGAGAGAGGAAGAAGAGAGAAGAAGAGATTGAGAAAAGAAAGCAAAGATTGTTGGATATGCAGGCAGCACGCATTATACAACGTTCATGGAGACGCTATAAAGATTGGAAGAGATTTGAGGCGCATCATCTAGACTCCATCATAACTAGTCCAGTTGTGATTATGCCAAAGCATCACTTGCCATCTGTTCCAATTGCACAACTCTATGAGAGATCAACTATAGTTTCAAGTAAGTCTAATGATGTTGAATATTTTTAATAATAATTTAATATATTGACAGGCTCTAGAAGGCGAAAGCTTCATAAAACAAGTCAAAGTGGTTTTAAAATATTCAAGGCATTGCCTTCAACTTCTCACAGCTATGCAAGACCCGGTACTAAGCCAGGAATCAAGACTGACTCAGGTTTATCACCACGCATTAAATCAATGATTCAAAACTGGCCTTGGAGTAAAGAGCTAATCCTCACTCCAGACGAAACCAACGAAGAGTCTTTGAAGCTTCCTAATATAATGCTAAGACAACACACTGGGCATCGTAGCAACAACCCATTGGCAATGACTCCAATTAAATTGCCACTTTTAAAATGAAATTATTAATAAAGAATTATGTAAAAGAAGATCTAAAATTAATGTAAAATACACACACATTATTAGCATTATAATTTTTGTCTAGACCATCATGATAAAAAATACAAAATAAATGATATATTTGTAGGTACGAGAGAAAAAGCAGGCACCTTAAGCCTCTGTTTCATTATTGTCATCCATTCCAGTAACTCGCAAACGAACAAACTCCTCAAATACAAAGTCATCCTGATCATTTGTAGCATCATCACTAGATACAATATTAGTGATACTAACTGCTTGTAGAGTCTAACTTACGTATCAAATGTAATGAGATTGTGATCAATAACGTCATGGACTGAGACAGTATCGTCTGCTGGAATACCTAACGTAACAAAGAAGTCTTTCATTACTTGTTATCAGGTTTTATCCTAGTGTAAAATCCCATGTGGACATGCAGTGTATTTTTGCTAATTTTTACCATAAGAATATGATTACAGGGTATGCATACACAAAGTTACTAAAATTGAGACAATTTAAATTCATACTCTTTTCATTCACAATAAAAGTACTCTGTCCACTTAAAAATCCCTGGTTGTGCATGCACAGCGAGTGTACATGTACAACGTACCCTCAGGCTTAGCCTCAGGTGGAGCTTTGCTCTTGTCATCTTTGGGATCAGTGATGGAGGAGAGAGATGAGCGAGGAGGAAGAGTGATGACCTGAGAAATGACTCGCTCCTTTGGTTTAGGGTGTGTCAAAGTGAACGGGAGCTCCAGCGTCAGATCACTAGTACGAGTGAATGAGTGTGTGTCGTAGGATGATTTAAGGAATGATTTATATGTAACTTACGATCCAAGATTAACAATACACCGAACCTTTACACTGTAATGAACAACAATACCAAACGACTCACGGAGCTCCCTGCTGTCCTCAACCCCTGATGGCAGTCTGTATAAAAGAGTACATGTATATGTAAAGCTTTATTATAATTACAAAACTGTACACATTATAGTGATACTGATATACTGTATTGATACTACAGTACATGCATGCTGGCTTCATGCAGTGAGTGATTGAATTACTCATAACATTGTCACATGAAATTAAGACAACATCAAAGAAACAGTTTTGCCAACACGTGCATGTGTAAGCTAATATTATACCACAACTTGGCTCTGATGCAACTCTTAATAATGTACATGTACATGTAAGCATGAATCAGATAGGGTGTTTTGGGGTCAATTTTTGATTAAAAAACATGTCAAATCTAAATCTTTTTAGCTTAAATAGCATAAGGAAGCATAAACACTCAAAAAATGTAATAAAAATTTGGGTGAATTTTGGAGCCATTTTTTGGAAAAATCCATGGGCTATAGTACAGAGTATTTTTCAAAAAATGGCCCATTTCTAAAAATGGCTATAACTTGAACATCTAAGCTCGGAATCAGCTCAAACTTTCTACATAGCATAAGGACATCAATATATATCAGAAAATTTAATAAAGTTGGTGGTGATTTAAGATCAAAGGACCAGACACAAACAGAGACAGACACAATAGACATGTAATATGTATGGAATGCTGCTGCTGACATTGTTGATGAGGCAAGACAAGTGTCTTCATGTTTAATTTGGCCATCAAGGGCTAGTCCTTTCTTGTTCTAAACAAATTAAAAAAGAATATGAAATAAATTGTTTACATAATCAACTCACTCTCACTCACCCTGTTGTCCTTCAGCAATGGAGTAATTTCATAACTCTTCTGAAGAGAACCACCTGTTCCAATAGGCAATCCTTCACTGCAAAGAAATATCCATTATATTATGCATATAAACTTGTACATGTACATGTATATACAGTTAAAATTTAGTTTCAATGTACCAGTACATGTAGTAAAAGAGTCATTTTTGTAATAATTAGTTTTAAATAATAAACTCACGATGATTCTAGTTCAGCAACAGTGCACTTGTACTCAGAATTAGCAAACAAACAAATGGCAGCAAACTGGCGAACTACACGTGCAAATAAATAAAACAATCATAAAATATACATGTACATGTACATGTACATGTACATGCAGCTGTGAAATTGCCAACATTAAAAATCTCCAAGTTGATACCTTGGCAAATTACATGCAGCTACACATCATTATTAATCCTGCTAATATTTCCCACTAAATGTACATGTACATTTACGTGTAAGTCATGCAAGCTTACCAGAGACTCTTATCTTTCTGATAGTTTTAGAGGATCTGTTAGTAATGGACACATTAACACGTATTGGCTCACCATGGTAGTAAGTCTAGTAATAATGATAAAAATATTAACACAGAGAACAATAATATAACATGACAATAAGTTGAGAAGCAGTGATTGTACACTTACTCCTTTGTCGAGGTTAGCCTCAACAGTCAATGGGTGGGAACTGAGAAGATACTGTTTAGTGAGCTCTATGCTAGGCTAAAGGATGGAATGAGAACCATGAATTACCATAATACATGTACTGTACATGTAACTAGAAAATTTTAAGAGTAAAAATTCTGGTAGATTTGGCAAAATTTCATCGGTAGCTTCAAATTTTAATCAAATTAACACTTTTGAAAACTGCCACCAGTTATTCAAGCTACCATGCATGTACATGTACACAATACATTTATATTACTAACCCTTTGAGTGTGTTCATCCGATGCATGTGTAATCTTCTTGACAGAGAGACGCACGGAATTTCTATTAAAATTGTGATACAAAATAGTTCACTTTTGTAAGGACTCCATGCATTTAAATTAGACTAACCTTTTCTCAATTTTATCCTCTTTATTTTTGGCAACATAACAGCGCAGGATGAAGTCCACTCCACAAGGCTGCACATAATAGAAGGGAATGTTCATGTCAATGAAAGATATTGTAACAAAACAACCTTTTCTCCTTCCTGGGAACTGGCATTTGGTGAAGGTTGCAGAGAAACTGATGACGGCAAACCAGGTTTAAGCTAAAAATAGAGCAACAAAGATTAAGTCATTAAACCAATGGAGGTAGATTTTAGTGATGTTTTAGTTATCAAAAAACAGATTTTATTAGTTATAGTTAGTTTTAAGCAACGTGCGGAAAATTTTTATTAGTTTTTATTAGTTTCATGATGCAATCATTTTCATATAGTTAGTTTTAGTTAGTTAACTAAAAGGCTTTTTGAAGACATTTAGTTATAGTTATAGGGTCAAAGTTTTAGTTTTTATTAGTTATTTTAGTTATTTTAGTTAGTTCACTCTACAAATTATTTATAGTTAGTTTTAGTTAGTTTTTGGAAGCAAAGCCTCATTTTTAGTTAGTTACAGTTAGTTTTAGGAAATTCTTTTTTCATTTTAGTTAGTTATAGTTAGTTAACTAAAAGTCAAAAGACCAAACTAAAAGTGCTTTTAGTTTTAGTTATAGTTAACTAAAACAACACTAGTAGATTTGTAGAAGATTAAAATCATTAAAAATTAATGATGCAATTGATTAATCTTCATCTACATGTATGTACATGTATAAGTATAAGGGACTAGAGTCAGACAAAATGCTCATCATAACTTGCATTCAAACCTTTAACACCTTAAGCTTAAGTAATTGGTTCTACAGAGGCATACTTATAAAGTCTACCCCTATACCATATACATGTGTACACATAAAAAGTACCTCTGAATACTACTGTACTAAGAAGACAGGTACATGTAGTGTGGAACCATACCAATGGTGTCCTTAAGAGGTTACCATATAATAGTACATACCATTAGACAAATGTCATCAATATTAATAATTATATTTCTTATAAACACTAATTGAATTTGCTTACACTAAAGGTAAAGGGATAAGCATTCCTTCCCAATTTCTTAAGAAGTCTAACTTGTAGGAGAGTTAGGATCTGAGGCTTTGATGGATCAGGAGGAGGATAGACTTGAATTCTTTCCTACTCAAAGATTACTAGGAAACTTAAAAGTTGTAGGACTCACGTCAAGCAAATCCCTTCTATAGTTGAGCCCAAGGACATCAAGATCATCACGGCCATAACGAAACCCAACGAGTATTTGTGCAAATACTGAGAACAATAATAATGATAATAGGAGGAATGTATTTGTTTATGGTCACCTTTCCTATCCTTCTTCGCTTCCTTTTTAAAATATTCCGGATCAATGAGTATAACACCATCTGAAAACAGAATGATAATATATGCTCATGAACATACAAGCATACCCAATGGGTCAACTTCTGTTACATGATCAACAAAGTCCCTTTTGCCTACATATACAGTTATCTAGAGGATGAGGGAGGTGATAATGGTTGGACTAAAGAGGTGTAGAGCTTACCTTGGTGTTGGGAGAGGTCTTTTTGAAGACCCTAAAGTATAAGATCAAAAGACATGAAAGGAGAGCTTATCAAAACATTTACTGGTGCAGGAAAGCTTTGCTAGAAGTTACATCAAACATGCTGTCTGACTTACAAGACCCTAGCCGGCTTAGTTTACATGTACCAAGGCGTCCAATTCACTTAGTAACTGACTGTTATAAGCTACCTTGTCCCATCTCTCTTGACGGTCTTGATAGCCGGGGGCTCTTCGTGATCCACTAGCTTGTCGGTTTCTTTAGGCTCGGTTGATTCAGCCATATCTCCTTCTGGATGAGGGACAATAAGATACCGAACTACAACTCGATGAGAGAGACTGAAAATCACAGCATAACAAAACTAAAATTCTATATTAAATTTAAGTTGTGGGCGAGGCTAGCAAAATAAAACTATGTTTATTAACATTGATAACTATTACTTTTATAACTGTCACACATGATACATGTCAATGCTTTAGCACATAATAATACTTTTGTTGTGCAAAATCATCTACTCTTGATAATATCAATAAAAGTATTTTTAATGCTTCAGCTCTTCACTCAGCATGTTCTTCCTTTAGATGCAACAGTACAGTTGATATTCATAGCTTGACGAATGGCAGTAACACGTTTCTGGTTTATTCCTACATCTTTGAATGGTATCCAGCAGAATAGGGCACTCCACAAAAAGCTAAGTGGCAAAGAAACAGGAAATATGCCAGTAGAGAAACCTTTCACTGATACAGTTGTCTCTAAGATAAAAAATACATTAGCAATTAAAATTAATTTTGACTCATTATAGACTACTGTAGTGCACTTTACAAGATTGGATGCATTTAGCTCAACAACAACGACCCTGTACAGGGTATTTTGTCAAAAATGGCTTTAAAAGAATTCTCTATTTTTATAATTTTTTTCTGATGCATATACATGTTCTTATGTTGCGTAGCAAGTTTGAGTTGAATCCAATCAAATTTGGATTTTTTACAATTTTTTTTGATTACTCCAAAATCGGGCCAAAGTCCCTGTACTATAGTACAGGGTCATTGGCCAAATTTCACCAAAAATGACTAAAAGAAAATTCTTCATTTTAATAAATTTTTCTGATACATATACACGTTCTTACGCTGTGTAGCAAGTTTGAGCTCATTTCAATCAAAATTAGATTTTTTTACAAATTTTGACAGTTACTTAAAAATTGGGCAAAATTCCTTGTACTATATAACCTCAGACTAAACTATAAGCAGTATTAAATTTTTGTTCAGGTCTACTATAATAATAACTACCTGATTGCATAAGACTTGCATCAATTTGTATCTCAATCACATCCAGCCAGTTGCATCTCCTAGTAAAGCTGAACAGCTGTATAAAGAGTCTTTCTTCATCTGCTTCCTTGAGTTCCATCATCTCCTTGTCCTTATCAATGACAGACCTGATGCTCTTCAATATCTCATCAAAGGCCTGCTGAGGAGGCTCCTCCACTTCCCATACTTCACTGTACTGGTGAGGCGTCCTAATGCCTGGGAGCCATAATCCTGGTCTAAGGAGAGACTGTATAGAGGCCTGAGCTCTAGAAAGACAAAATACATGAGAAGGTGAACTGTCCATAATTTCACACTTCACACAACTTCTCGCCTTCTCACCTTGTTTCTCCCACGCGTATAAATAGATCTAACTGCCACACCCATCCTCCTTATCATCATTATTATTCAATATTCAGCTCATGGCTAAATCTTGCTGCTTTGCTCAGTGTCAAGGGCCGATTCAGGCTGCCATTAGACCAGGCCTATGGTTACCTGGTGTAAGGAACTTGCATCTAGCTACTGAGACTTGGACAATATCTTCATCTCCACAAGTGAGTCGCAGGAATCAAGCTCCGTTTAAAATAATAATAATTATGTATATTTCTGATTGGATGTATAACCTGATCTCCTCGATAATTATCTCTCTTTTTCAGGCAGCATTTGATGCTATAGTGGAAGCAGTAGGTTCTATTGCTGACGAAGAAAATCTTATAATAAGAAAAGAGAGAAAGGCTGAGCTATATCTTGAGATATGGTCGTACACTCCTTATTGTAACTGGCTTGATATTGTGGAGATCAGACTTCATGATGTGCAACCAGACTCCAGCACTAATAATGGTGAGTCAGTAAGTCTAATGGCTATGGTAAAAGATCATGAGGTATGCTGTGACATCCTGATTGTAGTATACAGTAGTAAGGCCTGTACTATGTCAGGATGTCTCACAACTAACTGCTTACTGCTTAAGTGATTTAATTGTGGGTATGCATACAGCTAAGTATGGCAATGTTTACAATAAATCAAGTCTGCTTGGGGAGTGTGTGTATGTTAACGTTGCTACATTTCATTTTTAATAAACATTGTTGAAGCATGGGAAATTGGGAATAGGTTATCATTGATATGACAATTTATCTTTCAGAAACAATAGCTGAGGCACGGTCTTTCTCAAGTGGTCTATTCCCAGCTTGCTGTCCTTTGGGATTTATTTTCAGTTCTATATTCTTCTGGGTCCCTTTCTCTGGGAATAATTTCAATACGCATCGACTGGAGGCTATCAGGAAAGCGATCACTAGTGCAGCTGTTACTGTTTCTGATGAAGGACCCACCTGCTGCTGATTCAGTTTGAACATTACTATTATTATTATTCACGTTTTTTAATCAAAATACTCTCATAGCTGTATTAATAATGCATTTTTATTGTAAAGATTAAGTTTACATTTTGATTTTGTCCCACCCAAGAGTCATCTTATAAGCACTACAACAAAGTAATTCAAGAAACTTTTATTCAACAATAATTATAGTTACACAATGACGATTATTCATTATTACTGCATATACTGAGTCAGATGCGTAATGGATGAACTGATACCACTCCTCCGTTCTCTGTGGTCGCTTTAGCAATATCTGCCATCGAAGAGTCGAGCTCGATATCAAACCTAGCAGAGAGAGATGCCAAGTTTGTTTTAATTCTAGAGTTGGCTTGTTGGCAAAACGTTGTCGCTAATAGCAGCTCATGATTGGCCGAAGGAGAGCCATCAGAGAGTGACTTGCTAGTCCTAAAAGTTACAATATTTATTTATATTTCACAGAACAACACAAACGTCATGCATTAAACAAGCATTTTAGTGACCGGCTCTTCTTGACAAAGAAAACATGCAAGTGAAAACGGCAAAACATTACAGCACAGCACAATAACAACACATGCATATATGTATAATGTATAGAGATAGAGGCTACTTTCTATCTTGATTGAATTAAGAGTGATTTTATGTAGTATTTTCATGTGATGATAGTACAAGGGTACACTTGATAGTACCATGAGTGTAATTATCCACTCTTGATAGTACTGATAAAAGGTCTGATCCCTTACCTTGACAGCACGGCTGCCATTCCATATAAGTCAATTGAAGCATTTGCTAATCTCTGAAGGAGAAATTGCTCATCTAGCAAAAGAATAAGTACCATAAAATACATATTATTATTATTATTATTATTATTATTATTATTATTATTATACAGTAAGTTATCATACAATAGTAAAACTTACGGATAATGTTTTTGCGATATTTCATTAACAAATGATCACAAGCTCCTCCAAATTCACCGACACACTGAGCCATCTGAAAAGTGAGACATGATGAAATATAAAACTACATTATACCATAAAAACCCACTTGGTTAGCCGATGTAGCTAATTTGTGGTGAACTTGATCATTGATTGAATCAACTGTAGACATTCCCATTACTCTGTTAGGCATTATTATTAAAAACAATTTAATGATGCACATCAAATGACCTTTTAGTCCTTTTGAATCCTTCGGAGAAGAGAGTGTTCACATCTCCACTCTTTATTGAACTCTGGACTGCTCTTAAATGCTTTCCAGCAAACTACATACATGTACATTGCATGGAGAAAAAAAAACAATTGAATTTGAATGCAGTGCTAATAGTGAAGGACTATGGTAGTGGTAATTATTATATTAAAAGGAGTGCCTATCAGCACATTATTGAGAATCCAGCATAAAGGAAACACATTGGGAAATGTTGTTCCAAAAGTATAAAGTACATGTAATAGATCATTCAATTCAAGAGCTTACTTGTAATCCAGTTAGTGAAATGAAAAGGCGTAGAATGTCATTGCTTCCCTCGAATATACGAAATATCCTAAGGTCTCTCATCACTCGCTCTAAACCACATTCCTGAGAGAGAAGAGAATAGATAGTGAGAACAAGAGAAGAATAAAGTAGAAAAGAGAGAGAGAGAGAGAGAGAGAGAACATTAATAATAGAGAGCAATGAATCATTATTATTATTACGGTCATGAATCCCATTCCTCCGTGGAGTTGGATGCATTCATCAGCCACCATCCAAGCAGCTTCCTAATATAAAGTATAATAATAGTGCTGGATATCATTATGGTTCTCACTGATCCATAGATCTTGCTAATAGCAGCCTCCAATTGAAATTCAACAGACCCGCTGTCCATATTACCACTGAGCAGGTAGGCCATGGACTATGGAAATACGTGTGAGTGTATTCTTGGGTGCAATGACAAACACTTTAAGTGTACGATGTTCAAACATATAATTAGTCAATAATATCACTATGCTGTTGTTGTTTATGCTTAACAGTTTACAAGTAATCTGCCAAAGTTTGAGACAGATAAACATGAATTTTAGGTAGCAATGGCTAGCTAAGCTGGGCATCTACAAAAATGGAGTTTATCCAACTAGTTTATATAATATTCAGAATCATTGTTTAAATCAAAATAGTATTTTCAATATCCTTTATTTAAAGAAACTATTGTATCCAGTTTGTATAAAGTGTATAACAAAGGATCCCTTAATAATTGAACAATGACAACAATACTGATCATCATTATTATAACAGTTCAAACTTTCTGGAGGTTTAAAGTAAACATGTACATGTATCCATATGTAAAGTAAAGAGTATCAGTGATACATGTATGGTCGCTATTTATTCAATACTTACTTCAGTTACAAAGTGAGCAAGTGTCATCCTGGCTAGTTTCTCTCTCACGACTCCGTATACTTCCAATTTATTTCCAAATTGTACACGATTAGATACTTGATCAACCTAAAGCATAAATATACACATGTGCATGTATATTAATATCAAAACTTTGTTGTGCATTAAAATTAAAGATACATGTACATGTACTATACATGCAAAGCTTGATATTAAGAGGTTTATATTAATTATTGTGTTACACTCACAGCTCGTGATATCAACTTCCTCATGGTCCCAGACAAAGCAGAAGCCATACCAAACCGACCGTTATTAAGTATATTCATAGCCACCTTAAACCCTTCCCCTTCACCTAATATTAATTATATTAAAAATGCATTAAAGTGATTAACACTAATTATCAATATTACCACACCTCCTAACAGATTCTCCACTGGTACATGAACGTTATCAAAGTGAACCTAATTAGCAATGAGAAGGTGTTAATGAGTGATAATGGACACACCTCTGCCGTGTTTGATGCTTTGATGCCCATCTTCTTCTCCGGAGGACCACTAACATGAAAAATACATAATTGTACGATAATACATGCTCTTATGTTGCTGGAATCAATACAGTACATGTACATAAATGAGATAGCCCAATAGAAAAACTATCACTAATATACCACTAATAATTATTGATTATCTATTCTGCTATACATGTATTTATTATTATGTTCATCCTATAGTGAGGATGGATTACCTTGTTACACCCGGGAAGGACCTCTCCACGATGAATGCAGAGACTTTATCTTTAGTCTCCCCAGTGGCAGGATTGAGGACTGGAGTCTGAGCAAAAACTGTGAATATATCAGCAATGCCACCATTACTGATCCTGCACGACAGTGAAGATGGAAATGCAACATACAAAATGCTAAGGATAAGTTCCTAACCATATTTTCCCGCCATTTAATACATAATGCTTTCCATCGTCACTCTTGACAGCTCTTGATCTTATGGACTACAATAGAACATGTAATATAAGACACTGGAATTATAATGTTGATCTAACATTAGCATCAGATCCACTCGTTGGCTCTGTTAAACAGTATGCTGCAATTTTCTCACCAGATGCAACCTGTCAAGATGATTGATAGTCACATGATAGTCATAATCATATTTTGTGGTGCATATATATACATTCACATACCATTGGCAGATACTTTTCCTTCTGTTGCTCATTACCGAATAGTAGAATTCCTTTGAATCCAATGGACTGAAAGAGATGAATAAAATAAGTTTATTATTATTATTATTATTATTATTATTATTAGTATTATTATTATTATTATTATTATTATTATTATTATTATTATTATTATTATTATTATTATTATTATTATTATTATTATTATTATTATTATCATTATTAACAATAAATGTTTTAATGTATATGTACATGTACATGGCCCTACTCTTATACACCCCATAACTTGTTCCTTTGTCTTACCTGATGGGCACCGAGCATGATACCAACCCCCAGGTCATATCCGCCAATGATTTCCGTAAGTCTGGCGTACTGGGTGTTTGTGAGACCCAGTCCTTTTAAATTGGTCGGAACTTGTAAGCCAAATGCTCCCATGTCTTTCAACTGGGCCATTATCTCAGGAGGGACTGTCTCTTCTTTATCATTTCGAGCAGCATCATTGACTTCCTAGAAAGAGAAAGAAGGACAGTATATTTTATAGTCAGTTTTTTGAAATATATTCACATCACGCGTGTACCTCAAAGAATTTATTGACTGGGTCTACAAACATTGCAATATTCTCTCTTTCCTCTGTGCTCATGACTACAAAGTTAAAAACAAAACTCATAATAAATGTACATTATATAATAACATAATAACAATGAAAATAATGTCATCATACTTTATTGCATCACAAATCATAACTTACCATCAGGATACGGGAATACTTCTGTTGTGTTCATTCGACCCAAAAAAGTATTCATGACAAACGAGTCCGTTTCCTACAGCACAAAATGCAAATACTACTACTACTACCATTATTGTATTTACCGGTGGCTTCTTGTCAGAGTACAGTCTGGAGAGTAGTACGGATGAGACTGGGGTATTAGAGCGCTGTAAACTACATTAAACAATAAATAAGGCCCTCAGTAACAATACAGCCATTAGTCCTTACCATGGTCGAATCAGGGTAGCAGCAGATCTTAAAAGAAGAGAGGCCATGTCTCTTGAAATAGTAGACAGCTTGGCAAATGTCAAAAATTATTACTGATGATAGACCACACCCTAACAACGCCTACCAAAATGTGTGAATAATTAATTAGTACCTCAGCTCAGCCCCACCTACTTTTTAGCCCCACCCCACATTGTTTTTGCAGCAATAAAACACCAAAAATTATTATAATCATGCTCTCTTTATCCAGTACAATTCCTTTATCACCAGACCACAGCATACCAATACTAGGACTAGGAGTGTATCTGGCGGATGATACAACAGGAGCTTCACTGAGCGCCATTAGAACTGGGTACAGACTCCTGGACACTGCAACAGATTACAGGAATGAAGCTGAGGTTGGTAAGGCTGTGAAAGAGTGTGGCCTCTCACGTGATCAGATATTCGTTACAACTAAACTCTGGGTCACTGATCATGGGCGTGAGAAAACGCTCAAGGCGTTTCATAGCAGTTTGAAAAGGTGAGAAATTTTTACGTGCGAAAGTTTTAATGTTTTGTGATAGGTTGGACTTAGATTACGTTGATCTTTATCTCATTCACTCACCGTCTGGTGGACATATACTGGAAACATGGGACACATTAATTGAACTTCAGAAACAAGGACTAATTAAGTATGTGGGCGGTGGTGACTTTAATAATAATTAATAATTTTTGCAGGTCTATTGGTGTTTCTAATTTCAATGTTCTTCATTTGCAAAAACTTATGGAAGCACGCCCACATGCTAAACCAGCTGGTAATTAAGTAATATTTAATTTATTCTTTTTTTCTCCTTGTCTCAGTTAATCAAATAGAAGTAACTCCGTTTCTTACCAGAGATGAGGTAGTCTCTTACTGCCAGTCACAGAACATCGTCGTTGAAGCTTATTCTCCTTTGACGAAAGGAAGCCTACTAAATGATCCTGGGCTAGTCGCTATTGCTAAGAAGTTAGTAACGCCAACAGCACCTCGTGTACTGATTGCATTCCTTACCATGTGCTTAGGGTTTTAACAAAGCCATGCTATTATTAAGTGAGCTAAAAAGCATACTTGGCTTTTGGAGCAAATTAAAAAATTTATAAAAAATTTAAATATGATCGAAATCAGCTCAAATTTTCTACACAACATAAAAACATGTATATATATCAGGAAAAATATTAAGATGGAGATTTCCCTCTTTTTTGTTTTTGGCAAAATTTGGCCAAAATCCCTGTACAGGGACTTTGGCCTGATTTTGGAGCAACTTTAAAAATTTGTAAAAAATCCAGATGTGATCGGAATCAGTTCAAACTTTCTACACAACATAAGAACATGTATATGTATCAGGAAACATTATAAAAATTGAGAATTCTCTCCTAGTCATTTTTGGCAAAATTTGGCCAAAATCCCTGTACTATAGTACAGGGACTTTGGCCTGATTTTGGAGCAACTTTAAAAATATGTAAAAAATCCAGATGTGATCGGAATCAGTTCAAACTTTCTACACAATATAAGAACATGTATATGTATCAGAAAACATTATAAAAATGGAGAATTCTCTCCTAGTCATTTTTGGCAAAATTTGGCCAAAATCCCTGTACTATAGTACAGGGACTTTGGCCTGATTTTGGAGCAACTTTAAAAATATGTAAAAAATCCAGATGTGATCGGAATCAGTTCAAACTTTCTACACAACATAAGAACATGTATATGTATCAGGAAACATTATAAAAATTGAGAATTCTCTCCTAGTCATTTTTGGCAAAATTTGGCCAAAATCCCTGTACTATAGTACAGGGACTTTGGCCTGATTTTGAAGCAACTTTAAAAATATGTAAAAAATTCAGATGTGATTGGAATCAGTTTAAACTTTCTACACAACATAAGAACATGTATATGTATCAGAAAACATTATAAAAATGGAGAATTCTCTCCTAGTCATTTTTGGCGAAATTTGGCCAAAATCCCTGTACTATAGTACAGGGACTTTGGCTTGATTTTTGAGCAACTTAAAAAATATTTGCAAAAAAATCATTTTTGTCACAAAGTGCCCACTATATAGAGGCTCCATATTACTACATTATTATTTTATAATAAGGTACAACAAGTCTCCAGCCCAGTGTCTCATAAGGTGGTCACTACAAAGGGGGTTTGTCTGCATACCCAAAAGCAGCAATGAAAAAAGGATCAAGGAAAATGCTGATATTTTTGATTTTGAGATATCGTCCGAAGACATGGCTACCATGGTAAATTAAACAAGGATGAAATAGGTTGATGTATTTTTTAAACCCACAGAACAGCTGGAATAGAAATGCTTGGTTTGACTGGGATGTAATTGATACTGCTGGCTGGTTGCCGTAACGATTTATGGCCGAAATGGACAATCTAGTTTTACTATTACAAAACTTGTTATAAAAATAATAATAATAATAATAATATTTATTTTTTCAGTCTTCCTAATAAAGCGTCTCTTACTAGTAAACTAATAGCAACTGATGGCATTATTTTAAGATATGTCACACTGAGGCCTGAAAATAATTCTCTCAGGGATCTTGCAGCTGCTCCAGACACTTGCAGTCTTCGCCTTATTACATCAAGTGGATATACAGCCTTGGGAGAGAGAGAGAGGAGAAAAAAAGAGACACTTATAATGTCAAACAGATGGATTTGTTTATTACTGTTTGTGCAGTAGCTCCAGCAAGTGCTCCACAAGTTAAAAAGAGCATTGGGCTTGGTGTCAGCCCATGCAGTGTTGCTTTGTGTTTCAAAAGGTCATAGCTTGCTTGTTGGACGGCTATGAATGGAGCTATTGCTAGCAGCGTTGGACCTAGTCCCTTGTATAAACCGCGGAGTTGCTCTTGTTGATAAATTATTCGAATTCTTTGAGCCAAACCTAGTGGATCAACAATGATAACATAAAATTGTTCTGTTGTTGATTATACTAACTGTGTTTATTCGCAGTGTCTATAGTAACCTGTGCTCTAATTAGGTCTATTGGATGAGTGAGGATTGTAGCAAAACAACCAGCGAATGCTCCCACTCCCATTCTCACCATTGTATTCACCTTTACATTATCTGATGTACCATCTAGTGGGAAATACTAAATGAGAGAGAGAGAGAGAGAGAGAGAGAGGTATGTTCATTAAGGATAGAAAAGGAGGAAGTGGGTCTAATTTTTAATTACTTGTGCAATGTTGGCATAGGCAAGACAAACAAGCCCTGAAAATGGAAGCACACGTAAACAATTCAACCCATTGCCAGCATACAGTCCTCTCCATGTCTCCATTTTTATGATATTATTAAAAGTGGAAACCAACCTTGCTTCACCATTAGTCTAAAAGCATAGTAAGAGAGAAAAGGAGGGAGAAGGAGGATAACGTTGGATTAATAATAAGTACATACTACTAACTTGGGCTAATATTTTGATTTTTTCTAAAGGTGCAGTTGCAGTCCTCGACACAATCCCTGCTGTTCCTCCGGCAAATAGTGTCAAGCCAATCTTCATCGAAGGAGGTGGGATGACAGGCGGAGCTAAATCCGAACCGACGTCAACAGATAAACCGCTCGACCATTGTTCCAGTACAGCACGGACGGATGGAGATGGGAGAGAAATAAAATATTCTGAGAATTCGTTAAAATCGACGCGGCCATTCTTATCTTTATCAACTTGAGCTAGCAGTGCTTTTAGTTCCCTCCCATTCACTGATTGGCCTAGCCTCTTAAAGGCATCTTCTAATTCAGCCACACTTATCTCCCCGCTCTTGTCTTTGTCGATATTATCAAACACTCCCTGAAGAGACTGAGTATAAAATGAACAGAATTCTTCAAAATCGAGCAAGCGATCACCACTCGAGTCAGCTCTTAGGAATCTTCTCTTTTCATCTTCTGTTAGCTTTATGGAGAGGTCAGAGCAGGCTAGAGAGAGCTCTTCCAGAGATATATTCCCGCTTCCATCTTTATCTAGCTTATTAAACAATGATAACAGCTTGTCTTTCACTTTCTCATTCATAATTCTTCCCCTGCTAATAACACACCTACTTCTTCTAATCTTCTATTTTTATTATTGATTGATTTAATATAAGAACTTTTGCTTGTTTGCACCTTTTTGCTTGTCTTGTTCGCACTGTTGTCTTTTCATTAAAATAATTACAATTCATGTCTCCACTTAAAATCAATGATATTAAATAAAACAGCTTGAGTGTGATTGAGTAAAATCAAGAGAAATCATAGAAATGGCAAAAAATAATAATAATAGCGATGGGCAAAAAATGAAATAATAACTGTTTTACATAATCAATATTGAAAATTACACTCTTATATGCACACGATTGCTGTTATAACATCCTTCATAGTATACTGGCTTCATCAACCTCAATTGCCAACTCGTCTTTATCAACAAATCCGTCAGTATCATCAGGAAAATCAAGACCTTGTTCACCTTTTTTTTGTTTATAAACAACCTGACTCTAGCAAGATAATAATGAAGCAGTAATTATCAGAAAATGTAAAAATGGGGGTGCTTTTGAAATGCCTGCATGTTTTCTGTATAACAACTCATGCTTTTCCCCCCAGACTTTGGCATACTTTGTATCAGCTCAGAATATTAAAAATAAGCATACATAATAATTACCTGAGGTCCTGAGACTGGCCTCTTGAGTCTAAGGTACAACACTACACCTCCAATCACAACCACCAGGATTATCAGGACTAACAGGAATACCGCCACCAGACCAATGCCAACCTCAGCACCTGTCGATAAGGAGGTTCTTGGAGGAGTTGTGGTCTGTGGAGGGCCTGAAGTAATTGTAGGAAGAGGAGGAGAGGAAGTTAAAAAAGATGGAGTAAAAATTTGTCGTGTGGAGGAGACTAAAAAAGATGAAGTATAAATTGGTCGTGTGGTTACAGCTGTGTGCAGACACATTGAGCGAGAGAGGGGGGAGAGAGAAGAGTACAAACAATTAGAGAAATGATATCAAATGTAGCAATAGTAAATAAGTAAAAATAAAGAAGCCACACACGACACAATGCATATACCATAGTTGAACTCACTTGGTCTCACAGTTGAGGTCTGGCAGGTTGAAACAGCCTACAAAGTAATCAGTATAAATAAAAGGTACAAAATACATTAGTAATTACTTGATTATGGCAGCCAGCGATGAACCATTCTTGTCTATGCCTGTCTATTCCATCAGAACATCTAAAAAAATTAAAAAAGAACAACAACAATAATAATAAACAAAAAACAAACAACAGCGATGATAATAATAATAACTATAATAACTAATACCTTGATAAATTTGCACACCAAGCACAATTAAAAATTCCTTGCTTGCTGATGTTAGAGCAACTTTCACATGAGTTAGCAATAATGCAATCTAGTTTACTGGAGTATGCAACAATTTACAAAGACGAGAGTGCTTACTTGGCACTGGCGTAATGACGTAAGCAGTGTTCGATAATTCCTGCGTCTTGTTGAGTTGTATACGTGAGTATTCATAAATATAACGAATGATTCCTAAAGAAGATGAATGAGAATAAAAATTACAGAAATAAAAACAAATAGACTCACGTCCGAATCGATCAATCACGTCAACATAGAAAGAATCAGCCAGTCCAACTTCAACGGGATGCTCATCATTATTGATCTTATTTATGGGCAATGGTATCTGCAATGAACAAGAAGTTGTGATGATTATGATGATAACAATAATGTTAAAAGTATATATGTACAGTATAATGAAGTTTGTACCTCACGGTATGCAAAATGAATGGTACCATCAGGAAAGAGGGAGACTTGAAATGTAAACTCGCCATCTATAAAAACAAAATAACGATAATAAATACAGAGAAGTAGAGGGGGATTAAACGATAAAGAGCAGAGATTATTGAATAAGAGAGAGAGAGTGTGTGGAGATTGATAGGCCATACCGTTAATGTGATCATCATTATGGACGCCTTCCCACTGAACAGTGAATCTGTTTGCTACAAAAAATATATATTATTTTGAAAATAGAATAACAATAAAAAATAACAGAACAAGAACAAGATAAACTACATTACTGATACATGTCACTGCCAGTTGTCCAATGCCATGTATAAATATCTATACCATATGTTTATGAAGCAACAGAATATGTTAATGCATAATTGTGGCCCAGTTTACAACTAGACAGGAACTTTTACAGAAAAGAAGTAAACACATACTCTTACGCTCATTATTACCTGTACTGTAGACCAGTATTTTAGCAGTGTCGTTGAGCGAAGGATTAAAATTAGCTTGTAAAGGTGCAATGAATTGTGTCAAGTGGATCTGACTGTGATAAAATGTGCCAGTGTATAGAAAACCTTTTAAAAGAGTAAGAAATACGTGTGAAACTATATACAATATTATATTCCTTATCTCTCTCACTCTTCTCTCTCTCTCTCTCTTACCTCCAGTGGATACGGCTATTCTATCAAGTATGTGTCCATAAAAGGGAAAAGGGAAGGGCATTCTCCATACCTACATAGCATAATACAATATTTACATGTCAACACATGACAGGAAACATATGCATGTAGTCACGTCAGGGCTGAGGCTACTATACATTACACATGACTTGGTGTTTATATGGCTAGCAGCTACATGTACATGTATGGCTACATGTATATTAACATGTAAGGTGTTAGTATGAACATCTTGATATAATCTCACTCTTTACTATTATCAGTTGATAATCACCCACCAATACTACACTATAGACTATTATCAAGACTACCTATATTATGCATTCTTCCTATTATTTACATAACTTTCCCTCCCTCCCTCCCCTCTCTCTCCTTCTCTCTTCTTTTACCACATAATAACGAAAGAGTTCCTGGATGGCTGTCTCATTCACGCCTTCTCTGCCTTTCAGTTCAAACCAGTAGGAGTCACCACGAGATATGTACTGAGACCGATAGTAGACATGATGATCCTAACAGCAACAACAATAATAATAATAATAATAATAATAATAATAATAATAATAATAATAATAAGATGATGATGATGACAATTGTGGTGGGGAAATTAATGATGTTGTTTTAACAGTAACAGATCTATTATTTTTACTCTTACAGATACAGTTGTGGCATTTCCTGGTCCCTCTTGTCTCTTGCTCCTGAATACTGTCGTGATGTGGCTGTTCTCAATTTCGTTCCCTTCTTCTGTATAATACTCTGTAGGAAGAGAGAGAGAGAGAGAAGTGGCTCAGCTATCATGAGCTAGTCTAACCAATGTCTTCATCAAAGGAGAAGGCAAGGGAAAACAAGAGAGACAGGAACAAGACTGTGGACTTCATTGTAAGTCAAGTTGTAGCTTGCAGCTTCACTCAAGGTTACCCTCGCGTCCCTGCACTCTGACTGGGAATGAATAGGCCAATAGAGTATTTTTATAGGCATCTATTGATTATGTAAACACACAATAATTTAACGCATTGTTAATTAACCAAAGCTATCGTTAGCAATATAATTGCATCCACCTATAAAGGAGTGGCTAGATCTAGAATTAAAGGAGCATTAAAGATATTTGCTATTTTGAGTGGATTTATACATTTTTAACAAGCTCAGTCAAAGTAAGTACATTAAAAAAACTTTAGTAATTTCTAAAAGAGTTGAGTCAGTATAGGCAAGAGTGGATATAGGTTCATACCAGCCACTGGCACTGACTACAAAAATTCATTATTTTTTGCTTGTGCTTGGTTATTGAACTGTAGTGTCTCTATCAGGGTTTCCCACAAAGTTTTGATACAGTGCTTAGCTTTTTGCCAGCTCATGAGGTGTCCTGTTTTACTTAAAACCCTGATACATGGTATTAATTTGTCAAAAATGGCTAGGAGAGAATTCCATTTTCATTAATTTTTTTTCTGATACGTTTTCATGTTCTTATGTTGTGTACAAAGTTTGAGCTGATTCCAATCAAATTTGGATTTTTTTACAAATTTTTAAAGTTCCAAAATTGGGCCAAAGTCCCTGCACATACCGTATAGAGGGAAATTTTGGAGGGAATTAAATTTGGCAAATTTGACATTTTGATAGCCATTTTCCAAAATAAAATCCGCCATTTTAAGCCATTATGTACATACTCAATGGCACATGGCCACTAATTTGCCAAATTAAAATCCGCCAATAACCAAAATTTAGCAATTCGCCAAATTTTACTCCCTCCAAATTTCCCACTATATGGTAGTACAAAAACTTTGGCAAAATTTTGCCAAAAATTTGCCAAAAATAAAAAGGAGATAATTCTCAATTTTTATAATTTTTCTGATACATATTCTTTTCTGATGTAGTTTATATACATTATATTTTTGTTGCATATCTAGTTTGAGCTGATTTCATAATTTTTTATAAATTTAATTTTCCTTCCTCTTTGTAGGCTAGTAGGAAGTCCAGGCAAAATTTCATTCATACGAAAGAACCTAACAGAACAGTAGTCTCCATTTTTGTCTTGTCCACAAAACCCAGTTTGTGTGCAAGATTTATTCTGAAATTTCTATAATTCGGTTTTAATTTCTGGTATCTTAAACATGGCTTCCAATGAAAAGCAGTCTTTTTCAATGGAACCAGATCCATTTGATGAAATTTTTCTATCAGAAGAAAAGTAAAATATAACACTGAGTCTATTTATATTAATTTTTATAATAATAGAGCTGAAAGGGCTGGATACGAGGAAGGATATGAGGCTGGTAGAAAGAAAGGATTGAGTGATGGATATGATATTGGCTATAAGGAAGGAGAAGGAATTGGAGAAGAGGTGAAGAGAAATTATGATTATTGAATCGCACAATTTTGCTACTTTTTTCTTGATATGGGGGTTGCAGTTCTAAAATTAAATTTTTATTGCCAAAAACCCATTAGTTCCATTGTCACGAAATCCGTGACAAGCAAAAAACCCATTAGTTACATTGTCACGAAATCCGTGACAAGCAAAAACCCATTAGTTCCATTGTCATGAAATCCGTGACAAGCAAAAATTTTTTAATTAACAAAATTGACTAAATTTTATAAAAACATTCTTGTTCTAATTTCTAGATTGGTTTTTATTTGGGATTTGGTAGTACGTGGGTCTCATTGTTACGGCAAGAGGAAGAGACGAAAAGAAAGGACAGAGAGAAAATCACCAAGTAAGATCATGATAGTTTTATTTTTAAAATAATTTCAATTGTAGAGTCTTGTTATCATTCGTTGAATGTGTGAAGGAATTTCCTGTACTGGAAGTTGAGTTAAAAGATTATATGGAGAAATTAAAACAAATAAGAGCACAATATAGACAAGTTAGTGAACACAATATAACAATGACAAGAATTATTAGCGATACTTGTATAGATATTATCAATATTGAAATTGAAAATGGAAACAGAGACAACAGAGGGAAAGAAATCACTTAATTTTTGAGCCAACAAAAAAACAATAACAATTTTGAAAACATGATAATAATTTAATGGAAAATATCACAACTCGAAAATAATAATAATAATAATAATAATAATAATAATAATAATAATAATAATAATAATAATAATAGTGATTATAAGGTCACAGTAATACTATAACAGGCTGAGAGTGAAACTAAAGTCTACTACTAATAACAACGATAATAATAACAAGACACATCACAGTTCTACGTTATTGTACTTGCGAAGACGAGTAATTATGATTAACCAGTTTAGCAAACCCGTTTTGTAGCTTTGTCACTTCAACAGGTACATGAAGGGGTGAGTGATGTGGTGATGAAGGCGGAGTCTGGTCCTGTTCGCTGGCAGTGCTAGAGGTAAGGGCAAGTGGCGAGAGGACATCAGGTCTACAGGAGCGGTTCTTGTTCCTCGTTAGTATGTTACCGTCAGAGTTAACCCGCGGCCTCATTGTCACAAAATCATCTTTCACTTTAACAAGGACTTTAGGAGCTTCGGGCGACTCCAGTAGCCTGTCAAGTGATCCGGTTCTGTCACTCCGTCTTAAAGGATGTACCTCATCAGTTTGACTAGGCTCCGGTGATTCTGATGATGTGCTAATAGCTTCGTCCGAGCTACCGCGTGATATGACATGCCTGGATGCCTGTGATTCAGGGGTTGCTATTGGAACGTATTGGCGCCTGTAGTTACGGCGTCCCAGCGTACCGGTCTCCCCTCCTCCAGAGACCCTGACTGGCTCTGGTAGTCCCCTCAAGCAATCAAAAGGACGTGAGTAGGTCGGGTCCTCGTTATCCTCAATCATGTTCAATTTAACGGCAGCCATTCGGAGCCTCTGTATCTCTGCCAGGCTCTGATAGGAAGGCTCTACTGGCGCCTGGCTTTTAGCCTGGGGCCTTGAGTTATAGTATTGCTGCAAGGCATCGATTGGGTCAGCATATCCTGAGTCAGACTCAGATCCATGCATACTATCCAACTCTTGGGAAGAACCTTTACTCTCGCCTCCGCTGGACGGATTCAATATTGAAGGAGGTTCTTCAGTATCGTAGAGCACATTAGGATTTGTATTGTGATGATAGGGAGAGGAGGAGGCTGTATGGTAAGGTGAAGAAGAGGCAGAGGAAGATGTGGTTATACTGTGAGGGTAACCAAGTGACCTGGAGCGTGTTCTATCAATAGGATGATGATGATATTCTCCTCCTCCTCCTCCTCCTCCTCCCATAAGTTGCTGGTGCTCCTCAAATATAGTGATACTGGCTTTATGAGGGAACGCTGAAACTCCTCCTCCTAGTGGTGGTTGTGAATTTGAAGTAGACGAAGTACCAAGTTTATTAACACGAGATGGTGTCATGTCAGCTATTGATGAGAAAAAGAGAGAGAGAGAGAGAGAAAGAAAGTGGGCAAAATTAATGATATAATTTATGTCGTATTTTCACAAAAATTTTCTCTAATCTCTTAATTTACAATGGAGTGGACATATTTGGTAGCCTTGAGCATATGGCCATACATGTACATAACAATGTGTAGCAATGCTGTAATCAGCACACATGTACATGTACACGTGTACATGTACATGTATGGTGTATGTGTGTGTGTGTTTGTGTGAAAAGTCCATTTATGATGATAACTTAATAATGTGTTGCCTTTTCTCTCAATGATCAATAATATGGTGCATATCTATAATAAGCCCCTTCATGTAGAGTGAATTAGATCACAATTTGTAAGAAACTTTAAAAATTTGTAAATCAGAATTGGCTCAAGCTTTCTACACAACATAAGAACATGAATATGTATCAGGAAAAATTATTAAAATATGGAATTCTCTCCTAGTCATTTTTGGTGAAATTTGGCCAAAGTCCCTGTACTATAGTACAGGGACTTTGGCTCGATTTTTGAGTAACTTAAAAAATTCATTAAAAATCCAATTTTGATCGAAATCAGGTTAAACTTTCTACACAACATAAGAACATGTATATGTATCAGGAAAAATTATAAAAATGGAGAATTCTCTTCTAGTCATTTTTGGTGAAATTTGGCCAAAGTCCCTGTACTATAGTACAGGGACTTTGGCTCGATTTTTGAGTAACTTTAAAAATTTGTAAAAAATCTAATTTTGATCGGAATTGGCTCAAACTTTCTACACAACATAAGAACATGTATGTGTATCAGAAAAATTATAAAAATGAAGAATTCTCTTCTTTTCAATTTTGGTGAAATTTGGCCAAAGTCCCTGTACTACAAAACAGGGACTTGACCTAATTTTGGAGCAACTTTAAAAAATCATAAAAAATCTAATTTTGATCAAATTCAGTTCAAACTTTCTACACAACTTTAAAACATGTATATGTATCAGAAAAAGTATAAAAATGGAGACTTTTCTCTTGGCAAAACTTGGGCAGAGACCATGTACTACAGGGACTGATACGGTATGAATATGTACAGAACTGGGTGTTGCCTTCAACACTTGTTATTGCAATAAGGCAATATTTATCTCTTGTATGATGACAAAAGGGCATTAGGTGATCTAGATCATAAACAGAACAGTCAATTGTAATATTATCAAGTAATGAATGTAATCAAGCTAATGATAATTATATTAGTGCCACAAAAAAACCATTAACTACTAATAAGGATTATAATTATTTTAAGAATATGACCAAGTATTGTTATGGCTACCACTAAACCTGGCCAGCATAGACAGTTGACTAAGACTACAGTTAATATTACACGTTCTTCATATTACAATAACTCCTTTGCCAGTGATATCACTATAACCATTACTAGATGTAAACTCTTTAATTTGCGGCTCTTTGTAGCACACCCAGTGCTATAGTAAGATTGCCTAAGTGCTTATAATCAAATAATATTTGTTATCATTCTCTCGTTATCAAGCAGTCACTATTAATAACAGCTGGAGTGAAGACCAACTCTCTCAAAGAAGGGATGGGCCTTTGATTAACACGGCTTCAATCATTTCATCACATACAAAGCAATAACAATAACTAAGAGAGAGAGAGAGAGAGGTCTTCTTCATAAAATGCTGAGATTTTGTTTTTCTTAAGTTGAGGATAACAAGAGTGCTATGAATGGAGACTGTTAACAATCATTATAATTAGTAACTAGCAAATAAGTAAGTTTGTATGCTAACACAGTAAGTTATTACAAGTGAGACATGCATTAAATACATAAATGTACAATACAGCATCTTTTACGAGACCAATAAATTATAATTTTAAAGTACTCACAGGCACTACGTGTGAATGCTCTAGAGCGGAAGTTGTTTCCTGGATGAGGAGAGGAGTGCTTGAGGGCGTGGCTTGGAGACGGACCTTGAGGTGTCAGAGAATGATCCGATTCATGAGAGTGAGAGTGAGAGTGAGAGTGAGAGGAGTGAGGGGGAGGAGGAGGAGGAGGCTCGGTCGGGAGGGGACGGAAAGAAAACGGGAAAGAGCGACGACTTGTCGGAGTATGATTACTAGAAATGATAAAATATTAATGGCTTCTAGTTCTTGCCGTGTTAGTTTTATCTCTTCTACGTCTCTCTCACTCATTTCCTCCTCTCTCTCTCTTCATAGTATACATTCATAGCATTCGTGTGTACATGTAATACAGCAGTGTTGGGATGACACAAGGAAACACCATCGATTCATTATTTTGTCTTTGATTAGCATCAAATCAGATTAAGAGAATCAAGGAAGGAAAGGAGAGTTACGTTTGTAAACGACATCAAGTAGATTGGCTTTCTCTCTTGCTCTTTCTTTATGACTTTCAACAATCAACTCTTTCCTTTGTTATGACTATGCACTCAATATCTTTCCTTTTGTGCAATTAAACTTACACTTACATTACTGAACACACACACACTCTCTCTTCTCCTCATGTTTTCTTTAATTATTTCTCTCTCTTCCTTCCCTGCATCTCCCCCTTCTCAATTACAAAGTTTTAATTCTCTTTGAACATGTTTACACGGTCCAGCTTATCTCACTAATATTCCTTTGATCTCTTTTCATAATAGGCACACACTAGTGTTTCATTGAACTCATACAATCAATAGGAAAAGGCCTCACCCTCTATACTGTACAGAGCTTCTATGTACATGCCATGGACTAATAGGACACATACTGCACCTAATAACAATCAATGCTGACAATAGACTTACATGTAAGAAAGCTTATAATGGACACACAAACAAGCAGCATAAGTTATAAGTAATACATCTTGGACTGATAGACCAGCAGTAGAGCAGCATACATGTAGGCTCTAGACACACACATAGGCACACGTACACAATAGTAATTTTGGCATAGATATCATGCATTCATGATGTAAAAGAAAGATCTAAGCTTAAGGGGTGTACATATAAGTCAGTGTTTTAGACCATACAGTTGGTACATATTAAAACCTTAAAGTCTATACAAAATGTAGACTGTACTAATTCAATGGTGACAGTCAATGCAACAATCTGACAGTTACACTCTTCCTTGTTTCTCTACCTCTCTCTTTCACTTTCCCTCTCTCTCCCTCTCCCACCCTCTCTCTCTTACACTCTTCCTTGTTTCATTTCTTCCCTCTCTCTCTCTCTCTCACATACCCAGAAGAGGATGAAGAGAAAGCTGGAGAAGTGATAGAGAAAGGCGAATCGGTAGTTGATTTCTTTCCTTGATGAGGAGACTCTGAGGGAGAAGGAAGAGGATCAACAGAACCGGAAGGAGGAGGATAGAGTCCAAGAGTGTCAGATAATCCAATGAGGACTTGTGTGATCTTCTGCCATGTTGCAGCTATAAAAAAGAAACATACATTATTACATCCAACGCAAGAGCAGTATTACAGTTACTATTCTATATATATATATATATACACACATATATAGCTCCTTTTTCATTAGCGTGTAACAATAAAGGGAAATTATTGATTGCATTTTACATTATTTTTATCTCGTGTGTCCATTGTTTTCATTGATATTGCTCAAAAGTTATCAAAACTATGTCCAATAACACATCTCCCCACTCTCCTCTCTCTCTCTCTACTCCTCACAGTTGTTAGAAGCAGGGGAGGTTGTTCCGAGTATGTCAGCAATCCTCAGTTGGGCTATGAACAAGTGTCTCATTTGATCAGCCAGCTGGAGACCAGCTTGAGCCTGAGCCAATAGTCCCTTTTGAATCTGCTCAATCTAATTAATAGTAATAATAATAATAATAATAATAATAATAAAGAAATATGCATCAAATTAAAAGAAAAAGAGTCATTCAATTACTTTGTATTGCTTCATCTTCTCGTCATGTCCCTCAATCTTCTTTTTCAAGTGATCCCTCATTCCCAGTTGCTGTATAAACAATATTACAAAAAGGATACCAATAATTAGGATGTTTTGATAGATTACCAATTGAGCTATACGATTGATCTTAGCAAATAATCAAAAATACATTATTATCTAAGTATATTACAGGATGATGGTCCAGACTGTAATTAATTGGCAGCATGAAGAGATACGTGACGAGGAACAGATTAAAAATGTGATATGAATTGTGTACACGAGCATGTTTACAGTGACTTCATATAATGATAATAATGAGGAAATGAGACAGCTAGATACACACACACACACACACAAACTCAAAATGGGTAAACAAGGACAGTGTAAATATGGACTAGCTCTTAATGCATGACTGTAGATGTGCATATGTGAATGTGGTGTTTGTTTATGTGTACAAATATTAATGTGTTCATACCTACATGTATGCTACAGTTATTATAATTATGAAGTACATGTAGCTTACTGAATCCAACTCTTGATCTAAGCTGTTCTTTTTCACACTGTCACCTTTCTTTTGAGCAGATTCAACCTAGGGAGAGAGAGAGAGGAGAGAGAAAGAAAGAAAAAGGAAAAGAGAGAGAGAGAGAGGGTAAATGGATATGTACACAGGCACGTAGTTTAATTTGTTTGTCACTATTGCCGCCTAATAAGTGACATATGTTCCATTTATGCTGCGAACATCCTCATCAACAACTTATAATTAATAACATCATAACTATAATCATATTGTATTGGGCTCTATACAATACACATGCAGTGTACTAGAGTATCATATTATGCACATAAATGAGAGAAAAGGGAAAGCAAAGAGAGAGAGGGGGTGGGTGGAGAGAGAGGGAGGAAGAGGGGAAGATAAAAGAAGACAGGAAATAAGGGGTTGTTTGGGTGAAAGAGCAAAAGGCAGGCCAAATTTTAAAAATACATTATCCAAGAGGACAATAGTAGGAAATGATTGTTGATATTGGAGGCATAATTTTGGCAACACCAAATCCAATGGATTGCCAAATCATTGACTAAGATTATTTTCTACTACACACACACACACACACACACACACACACACACACACACACACACAAACCCACACACAATCTTTCTCTGATTTCTCCTTCACTTTATCAGATTAGGTTTCAATAAAATGTTGGAGGGAATGATAAAGAAGTCTTTCAAACACAACATGTTAACGGAGCATTTTTAGAGAAGGAAAGAGATGGGTGAAAGAAAGAGAGAGAGAGAGGGAAGGCATTAAGCGTGAAAAATAAATTTTAGAATTATGATAAACTATTTCTGATCTCATGTGTATGTTTGTGATGTCTGTTTTTATCGTTTTGTGTCATCTCATACTATTTATACTTACAAGGACACGGACTGGCAGCTTTCATACACAAGAAAATGCTTTCAGTTACCCTCTCCCTCCCTCCCTCCCTCTCTCTCTCTCTCTTTCTCTCTCTGCCTCACTCCTTTGGGCTAACTGAGTACCCATTTCTCTATCACTTGTGTCTTCTTATTTTAAATGTAAACTGATATTAGAAAAACAAACAGGGCTCTGCAGCTTATTATTACAAAATACATTTGGAAACAAAAACTTCCCTCGACAGGTTAGTATTTAGCAGTAGTATCATAATACAGTAACCTAAACCCCTACGTTAAGATTCAATCCCAATTGCACTACACAGTATATCGTTATTAGTTTCACGGTAGTAGTGATATTGATGAACAGCGACAGTATAGCAACTGGCTTCATCATACAATATAAACTATAATAAAGCAACTTGTTGCACATAACAGTATATCACTGGGCTACCAGGAACAAACCCTATTGTGTGATTTCAATGATAATTGTAGCAGTAGTGGAGTGTACGGTAGTAGCAGTAGTAGTGAATTCACTACAGTCAGTGTAAAATGATGCTAGTTAAATACACAATCATCGTACACTAGCTAGTCGCATACAGGAGCACTATGGTTAGTTTATAGTATGTTTAGTATTTACTTGTTTTCTTATTTTATTCACAGTTGCTTCACAATTCTGTAGAGCTTTCTTTGTGTCCTCAATGATCCTCTCCTCATAATAGATGTCTTTGAAGGTCTTTAGGTAATCATTCTGATGCTAGTAATGAAAAAGATTCAATCAAAGGAAACCAACAAAGACAGGAGTAATTAAACAATTAATCAAGTTAAACAATTATTTTCGATTTCATAACTAATTCAAAGTATTATGCGCCTCATGCAGCTCGATTATTTTCGATTTCATAACATTATGCTTCTCATGCAGCTTTAAAAAAGAATATTAAACTTTAATGAAATAGTGCTGATTTAATCTTAGCATTCCTCACTTCACTCGCTAATTCTACTAAAATTAGTACACACAATCAAAAGATAAATAACCTTTTCAAAGAACGACTTGTAGGCTTCGTTCCATATCCACCTCAGCTCAGCTAGCTTACCAAACAAGAAGATTAGAAATTCGCACTCTTCGAATTTGGCCCACTTGAGATGCCAAGCAGACGCTAAAGAGGAAAAGAGATTCAGAGCAGACAGACAGAGAGAGGAAGAAAAATAAACACATTATTACTCCATCACCCAAGGGAGATTCAGTAATACATGCAAACATTGTCACTACATGCTGTATATAAACAATTCTGAGTATTATTATACACTATTGCATCGGACTGTAACTACAAAACAAACATTGGGGATATCACATCGACGCATTACTTATGCATCAGTAAAGTCTATAGGACATCAAAATAATCCATGGACTATAAATGCAATGAAAGCCGTGAGGCATTTATAACGAATTCTCAGGATTCCTACTGATTACAGACTAGATACATTGATAATTATATATGCTCATAATAATCTCTAATTGAATGATATGCCAATTGCACTCCATTAGTCTCGTGTGAAACAATAAAGGTGAGCCTTGTTTTTAATAAGGCATAATTGATAGCTCACTTCTAACAATGTAAACATAATGATCAACTCTACACATCAAACACTCTACACATATCATAACAGCTTCACTACATGTAGATATACATGTACATGTACATTAACAAAACCAGTACATGAAAAGAACACACTCCACTACTGATTTCACTTATCAATCAGTGAGTGATGGAGTGAGTACTCCCTTTAAGATAAACTACATACAACAATGCCCATATATACAAAACCTCTCGATACAATAAAGGAAGGTGCTATCAAGAAAGTGCCTTTTGTCTCACGGAGCTAGCGTAGATTATAATTATTATACTGGGAAATGAACGCCGCTTAATTATGATTAATTACAAATTCGAAATTCAATTAATGGGCTGATATTATCAAACGGTTGATGATGGTAGCAGGCACGATGAGTTTGTTTATTGGAGCCTACTTATACGTCTATAGAATGACTCTGTTGGTTTATGAAGGAGAAAGAACACAAGGCATGTTGACAGAGATTCGTAATAAAGCATTAGTCGAATTGTCTTCAGTATAAAAAAGAAAATAAAACAATTTAAGCTTAATAATAGCATTACTGTATCATTATAGCAGTTTCTGTCTTCTTATCATTATCTATTTACTCTCAAAATGATACTGCAACCTCTCAGCTCCCTGAGGACATCATAGACAAAACAGTGAAACAATTGTAATGGACTCATGGGGACAGTAAAAGCTACAAGCTAGCATCCATTCACTGAACATCAAAAGTATAATAATAATAACAATAGCAGCATAATCAGCCATATTTTCTTTCTCTCTCTCTATCTCTATGCACCACTCAAAGGAACACAGATCAATGGCAGGAGGAGGAGTGTATAAACATCAAAATCCTTTTAGTCTGGGCTCCAAAGCATTCCGGGCAATACTGAGTATTCATGAATGAGGAAATCAAAGATCTAAAAATAACTAGGCTAGACTGGGCAACATTATTTCTATCAGTTGGTGGGAGGCAAGTCATCTGGCTCCCAAGATACACACAACAGTCACTAAAAGACATGATGTCCAACAACAATAAAGTTAGTGTTTCCAAGGCCAGAAATATCAATCATGCCATGCTAAATTTATCACCTCCGCCTCTCTCTCTCTCCCTTTCTATCACCTATCAGTCTCTCACAAATAATAATTATAGTATATACTATTCATGTACTAGAGCTATGAGCTATGCAATGCTCCATTAATAATAGTCTCATGATAAAACTAAATTGTGTCTCTCATCGCAAGCTCTATACGCAGGTCATTTCCTTTGGGTAGAGAGAGAGAGAGGACTAGCCATTTAGTCTACGAGTTGCATCAAAGTCTCAATGCCGAGGTCTATACTAGTGTCTAGACTATTAACTAGAGAGAGAGATGAAGGGTTTGATGGACTGTGTGAGTGATCTACTGTATAGAGCACAGTCTGTGTTTCAAGGCTGGGAGACAGTTAGCCTAACTCTACACTTATTCATTAGGCACAGTTATACTCTTCATAAAGTACATGTACGCAATATCATCAAATAACACTATCAATGGTATCAAATGATCCAGGAGAGAGGGAGATCACCATGCAATTTTATTACACGTACACCAATTAACACGGATATGCTTGGAGACGGGCTAAGAGCAGCAATAGTCTACCAGACTCACCTTTCTCCCTAGCTCCTATAAGTTTTGCTATGGCATCAGAGACGGTCTTTTCCTCGATGACTATCTGTTCCACGGCGCTTCTCTTCGCCATATTTTCAGCTCTTGAGCCTAGATTTAAGTTTTGGATCCTTTGCTTCCCTCGTATGTAGAAATACCCGGTCCGTATCTACTGGAGATATCACTGTAGAGAGATTGAGCAGGAGTCTTCGCTGATTAGATCTTTGTTAATTCCGAGGCTAATTCTGCTCAGTGCTGCCTTTTAACTTTCACTATGACAAACACGTTTCTGCACATCAATTTGAACATGCAACGCCTCTAAAGGCAGGAAGGATGTAAAGGAAAGGGCGGGATCACACCACAGCTATGCTACTGCCCACTGCTCAAAGCTTTTAATGTCCAACCATTGATATGGTGCAACCACAATTGTATCTACACGTGACAAAACTAACTAAAACCATCCAAATGCCTTGGTCCCTTTGCCTGTATAATGTATATGCCCACAAAAATGTAGAATTAAAACCGATGACTAGTGTATTATAATATCTATGACAGATCTATATTAGAACATGTGACAGCACGTGGTTTCAGTAAATTTCCGTAAGTCTTAACTAATTTTCATTTTGACTTTTTTCCTCTCTCTCTTCTCTTTCCTTTTTTATATTGCAGGAGTTTGCAAGTTGCATTTAATGATTTATTGAAGGTGATAGAGAGTGATAGAAATGGCTTGAGAAGTACCAAGACTGATAAGGTTTGAGGAAGAGAAAAGGAAGCAAAAAGACTCCATTGTCTTGCAAACAATTAAAGGATATTTTACAATCCTGGCTCCTTCACATTGAGAATGAGAAGGTCAGTAGACACACACACTAGCGTACATCCTGCATCAGCCCCTCCTACTTTAGGCAGCTCAAATGGGCATTGTCTTATCAATGATACGTCATGCACTTTCAGCAACTGTTTGATGTTCCATCGCTAAGCGGGGTCTATGTTGCCATGACAAACATTTATCGTCAGTTTAGCAAAGCACATACAGCTTATAGACAGCTAACATCATTAATGAGTGGGTCTTTATGCAATTACATCATGTACATGTTACTCGGTTACAAATTAATATTGCAGGATAATTTTTGGCTATTTGCCCAAAGTAAATGAAACTTACTATATCAACACACAAAGAATGACTCTTCCTTGACACTTATTAATGTTTTGCTAATTTCAATTTCTTGAAAAATCTTTAAAATTTTGATTGAATACAATAGCAATTTAAATGCAGGGCAGCTGTCATTGCCTATTCTAGCTGTTACAGTTAATGCTGTAGTGAGCCTCAATGAGCAACACACCACTTCATTGTAGATACATGGAATATATAAATAAGATAGAGACTGACAAAGTTGATATGGTAGCTAGGCCTAAGTACCTTTATCTTGTAGAAGCTGCTTCCAAGTATAACCTGTTTAACAATTTTTTTAATAATCAATGAAAAAAATATAAAAACAAGTAATAATCAATAAACTGTAAAGACTGCTGTGCAAGTGTACATCAATTAATTTAGTTTAATTGGTAAAGTTTTTATTAAAAGAGGAGTCCAAGGATAGCAAAGGCAATCATTGAGAGAGCAGCAAAAGGATACAACCCATTAGCAGGACTGACGGTAGGAGTAGGAATAGTAGTGCTGGTAGGAGTAGAAGTGTTGGGAGACATATAACCACAAGGAGGATCAAAAGTTACGTTACAATCCTGCCGATAAGGAAGAAAACCAGTAGCACAGCAACCCAGCATAGAAGAAAAAGTAGAAAGGTCATCGTAACAAGATTCAGGGGTTGTAGCATTGCAGACCAACGTTACATCATTAACATCTGTGTAGATGTCCGGGCAAGTCTCAAGCTCAGGGAGGGTGTCATTCAAACGAAAGAATTTAACAAAACAGTATTCCTCACCGTCACGTCCACAATAAACATTTTGTAGTAGATTGATTGCAAAATTTATAGTTGTAGCATGACTTGGAGCTTCAGAAGAAAGACATCGATAATACTGCAGAATGGGCTCAACGCAGGCAGGGATACAGTTTTTAGCATAAGCTGCATTCAATTCTGCTAAACCTTCACTGGATAAGTGGTCAGGGATGATTATGTTTCCAGTCAAGAGATGAAAACTGCAAGTTCTTGGTAGATTGTTATTCAGTTGAGTGACACAAATGTCAACTTGTTTAATTTCCAAAGCTAATTTACTGAAGACAGAAGCTACAAGAAAGAAGAAGAGTGTACACTTGATGAGGGCAGGAGCAGTAGACATTATATTGATTGCTGGAGTATTGTCCTTCCTTAGATGTTCCTTTAGTTTTGCTGTGGGTTAGAGGAGCAACACAATGGTCCTTTTATAGACACTTCAAGAATTAAAATTTATTTATCTCAACTGCATAAGTTTATACTGACCTAAAGTTGTTGATAATAGTGACCAGGGTTGAGGTTTATGGTTCAGACCGGTGCAAAGGTTAGCTAGCATGTCATTGTCTCTACGTCACATAGACTGTCTAATGACATTCATAGCTGTTGCAATGAATAATAATGAAGTTAATAATAATAATGAGATTAATTAATTAATGCCCAGAGAAGGACAATGTGCATGGAATAAGAAATCTAGTGTAATATACTTACTATCAACAAGGGTATGTATGAATCCTAAGCAGTGCAAGTTTCTATACATATCCCCTTCCTAAACAGGTATAGAAATAATTATAATATCACTATAAGCCTTATGTGAAGTTTCATAATTAATCATTTACATTGCAATGACATGATTATTTTATTTCAATAATCAGCAAAAAAATTAAAATAGCAAGCAATAATATTGTATAAACTGAGAGGACATTACTGTGCATGCATAACTACTACAGTCTTTATTAGTATGCAGTTAAGTTTATTATTAAAAGAGGAGTCCAAGGATGGCAAAGGCAATCATTGAGAGAGCAGTAAAAGGATACAACCCATTAGCAGGACTGGCAGTAGGAGTAGTGCTGGGAGTTGGAGCATTAAACCTACAAGGAGGATCAAAAGTTACGCTGCAGTTCTGAAGAGAAAAAAATCCAACAGCACAGCAGCCCATTTGTGAAGAGAATGTAGAAAGGTCATTGTGGCAAGATTGAGGGGTTGTGCTATCACAGACCAATGTAGAATTGTAATTTGTGTCAGGGCAAGTATCAAGTTCAGGGACAGTATCATTCAAACGAAAGTATCTAACCAAACAAAATTCTTCATTGTCATGTCCACAAAGAAGATCTCTGACATATTTATCTGAAGCATAATCAGACAACTCAAAAAAAACACACTGATAATACTGTACAGTAGGTTCAATACAGGCAGGAGTACAGGTTTGAGCAAAAGCTGCATTTAGAGCTGCTAGTCCTTCACTGGATGAAGGCTCTGGGAAATCATTTGTCAGGCCAAGGAGGGTACGATTACAAGTTTGTGGTAGACTGTTATTCAGCTGAGCAGTACAATTATTAATTAGATCATCTAGATGATACTTCAAAACTCTTGAACTGCAGACAGAAGCTACAAGAAAGAAGAAGAGTGTACACTTGATGAGGGCAGGAGCTGTAGACATTATATTGATTGCTGGAGTATTGTCCTTCCTTAGGTGTTCCTTTAGTTTTGCTGTGGGTTAGAGGAGCAACACAATGCTGCTTTTATAGATGCTTCGAGATATTAAAATTCATTTCAAGAGAATGAATATGCTTCATATAGCATCACACTATACAGACATTCTAGGAATATCGGCCTACTTGATTAAAATTCTAAGGATTAGATCATCATCCTTTTCCAGAGCTATCGACATTGTACTTTCTATTTCTAGTAATCTAGCTCGTTTTCATAATTATATATTCACTCATGATACCATATACAACAAATGATAAGAAATCAATTTACGACTTAGTTGTACAGTCAGGGCTGCTTCCTCTGAACTCATGAGACACTTCCTATGGACTGAGCCTGGCAGTCTACCCACTAGTGCAAAGTGCAAGTGTGACAGTGAATAGAGGAAGCTCAATGAATTTTGTTACTACAAGTTAAATCATAATATGGATTAATAATGTGTCGTAATGATTATGTTATCATAATTACAAAACAAAGTGAATAGAATACAAGGTATGGAATGCCAATGTGAGCAAAATAGAGCTACAGAAATAAAACATAAAATAAGGACACATGCATTTGGAACAATAGAATCTGGTACAATTCTTGCTTTACATTATCTTAGGATATATTTGCATGTTAGATCTGCACTTTTGCTAACATGCATGCGTGCATACATGGCTTTCAAAACCATATTGGCTATCATGCACTGATGGAATAGCACTGCAAATATTCATCTGGTGAATAGAATGTGCTTTAAATGTGCATTATAATTTATTAATGGACACATTCTTTGCTGTGTTTATGAGTACTGTTGAGCAAAAATTATTTTATTATATTTTATCTAATAATCAGCAAGCGGTATAAAAATAGCAAGACAATAAAAATTAATGTATAAACTGAGAGAGCACTACTGTGCATGCATAACTACTACAGTTTTAGAGTTTATTGTTAAAAGAGGAGTCCAAGGATAGCAAAGGCAATCATTGAGAGAGCAGCAAAAGGATACAACCCATTAGCAGGACTGGAACAAGGAGGATCAAAAGTTACTCTACAGTTCTGTCGATAAGGAATAATACCAGCAGCACAGCAACCCATCCTTGAAGAGTAAGTGGAAAGGTCATCATAACAAGATTGAGGGGTTGTAGCAGTGCAGACCATCGTGAAATTATTGTTTAAATTAGGGCAGGTATCAAGACTAGGGAGAGTATTTCCCAGACGAATTCCTCTAACAGTACAATATTCTCCATCCTCTTCTCCGCAATAAACATTTCGTACAAAATTTGACAAATAATTACTTTGAGAAGCACTGGATGAAATACACTGATAATACTGTACAGCAGGTTCAATGCAGGCAGGAGTACAGGTTTGAGCAAAAGCTGCATTCAGTGCTGCTCTTCCTTCACTGGATGAAGGTTCTGGAATGTCATCACCCAGACCGAGAAGGGTACGATTGCAAGTTTGTGGTATGTTATTTAGCTGAGTGGCACAATCAGACCCTTGTTTAGGAGCAGCATGTTTCAAGACTCCTTTACTGCAGACAGAAGCTACAAGAAAGAAGAAGAGTGTACACTTGATGAGGGCAGGAGCAGTAGACATTATATTGATTGCTGGAGTATTGTCCTTCCTTAGGTGTTCCTTTAGTTTTGCTGTGAGTTAGAGGAGCAACACAATGTTCCTTTTATAGATGCTTTAGAAATTAAAATTTATTTTAAGAGATTTATATTTGTTTTTATAGTTTCGGAATCAATTCCTTTGCTGCTAGTATTTATGATATCAATTGACCCAAGTACACTTGGTGACATCACATCATTACTGTAAGGCACTGTCTAATTAGATCCTGACATTCAATTAATAGTTGTTTTTATAGTTTTGGAACCGATTCCTTTGCTGCTAGTATTTACATCATCACTATAAGGCAGTAACACAATCACTCGGCCACTGCCTAATTAGATCCTGACATTCAATTAATAGTTGTTTTATAGTTTCGGAACTGATTCCTTCACTGCTTATGATATCAATTGACCCAGGTCTACTGTACACTAGGTGATATTTGTCTACCATTAGTACAATGTAATTTTACTCAACTTCATCAAGTTTATTGCAACCTGAAGTTGTTGATGTGTAACTGATCTGAAAAAAGTGACCAGGGTTGAGGTGAATGGTACATGTGCCAAAGGTTAGCTTTCGTTGTCTAGCTGTTACATCACATGATATTATTTATAGCTGTTGCAATGAGCATATAATAATGAGACTAGATAATACTCAGAGAGGACAATATGTATGGAATAAGAAATCTGGTATTATAAGTATGAACTTTAGCAGTCCAAGTTTCTATGCAAACAAATGATCTCTTTCTAAATGGGCATAGGAATAGTTATAGTATCACTGAGTTATATTTACCTCATAATGTATTCTCATGTGAGATTAAAAGAAAAAAATTTTCCATTTTTATAATTTTTCCTTATACTTATGCATGTTTTTATGTTGTTGGGTTGATTCCGATTATATTAAATTTTTTTTACAATTTTTTACGTTGATTCTCTTTATATGCAATATTTTGTGTGGCACACTGCATCAGTTGTAAGCCAAGTACCATACAAAAGCACTATCTCCATCAGACTATGTAGAATACATCATGCATGTCCTAGAAGGTGCTTCCAATTATAAATTGTTACTACTGTTAATATTATTAGCTACCATGACATATATACATGTAGATTTAGCAAAGAATAAGTTAAAAATGCACCTAAATGAATAAACCTTGTGCTCTTAATGTTAGAATCACGATGGGATTTTGAGGCAGTGACAAAACAGATTTCTTTTGCCAAAAGTACATTATATTTTGCATCCAGTAGAGGATTGAATGTATTTCAGAATAGAGAGGGAGTGGTGTATGGTCTGCTAAGTTTATGTAGCTAGAAAAGAAGAAATGGCTGTAGCATATAATCATCATAACTAGCTTCTGGCACTATTGATTGTTTACAACCAGAGGCTACAAAAGAGATGCATGCATGCACAGAATAATTGCCTGTCCAGAATACTTTACATGATCTACTATATAACAATAGCAATTTAGTATTAATTGTGCATAAATGCTTCAAACATGTTCCTTAAGTATTATTGAATAAATATTGACGATAAAAAACAAAAAAAATCTTTCATGTAAATAAATTTTGCTTAAAATAATCATCAAAATAGGTTTAGTGTTTAAGAATGAACAAGATAATGAACTGCTGTGTGTGTATAATTTAATTAGTATTCAGTTAAGTTTATTGTTAAAAGAGGAGTCCAAGGATAGCAAAGGCAATCATTGAGAGAGCAGCAAAAGGATACAACCCATTAGCAGGACTAGGACTGGCGGTAGGAGTAGGAATACTAGTGCCAGTAGGAGTAGAAGTGTTGGTAGGGGTACTAGTGTCGGTAGGGGTACTAGTGCTGGTAGAGGTACTAGTGCTGGTAGGGGTACTAGTGCTGGGAGATGTATAACCACAAGGAGGATCAAAAGTTACGTTACAGTCCTGCCAATAAGGAAGAAACCCAGTAGCACAGCAACCCAACATAGAAGATACATTAGAAAGGTCATCATAACAAGATTGAGGGGTTGTAGCATTGCAGACCAAAATGAAATCATCGTTTAAGTCAGGGCAAGTATCAAGACCAGGGAGAGTATCATTCACACGAAGGAATCTAACATAACAATATTCTCCATCATCTTCTCCACAATAAACATTTCGTACCAGATTTGACAAATAATTTTGAAAAGCACTGGATGAGTTACCGAATATGGGATGTGAATAAACACACTGAATATACTGTACAGCAGGTTCAATGCAGGCAGGAGTACAGGTTTGAGCAAAAGCTGCATTTAGAGCTGCTCTTCCTTCACTGGATGAAGGCTCTGGAATGTCACCACCCAGACCGAGAAGGGTACGATTGCAAGTTTGTGGCAGATTGTTGTTCAGCTGAGCTGTACAATTATCAAACAGGCTTCCTTGTTTAGGAGCAGCATGTTTGAAGACTCCTTTACTGCAGACAGAAGCTACAAGAAAGAAGAAGAGTGCACACTTGATGAGGGCAGGAGCAGTAGACATTATATTGATTGCTGGAGTATTGTCCTTCCTTAGGTGTTCCTTTAGTTTTGCTGTGAGTTAGAGGAGCAACACAATGCTCCTTTTATAAATACGTCAAAAATTAAAATTCATTTTAAGAGATTGATATCATGCAGTTCCACGAAACTATAAAATTACATTTGGATGGTGATATAATTGCACACAATTACTTGGCATAACATAGTAGAACTTTGCACCTAGTAATATCCTTCTTGCATGCATACTGATAAGATATCGATATGAATCAGAAAATGTAATAAAATGATGAATCTCTCCTAGTCATGTGTACATAATTATTTGACCCATGGTCTTTGACCAAATTTTTAGAAAAATCTAATTTTGTTGCAGAATCAGCTATTGTTAATAAACATTATTAGGATTCAATTATCTTATGATTCCTACTATATTGAAAGAAGGAAGCTGGTTTCCGTAGTAAACAAATATTTTATCAGAACAATGATTTAATGCTTGTTTTGACCACACATCAATGAACTCTAACCTTGCGTCAGCCAATACTATAGCACATACTTGTTTTAATTCATTTATAATTTTGTTATGCTTGTAAAACAATTTAGCAAAGTCTAAAGGATCCAGTAGGAGTAGGTAAGTAATATGCAATTCTATTTTGCTCATAATATCCTCCTCCAGCCTGTGGCTGCTACCAGTTTGGCCTGCAAGTTTTTTTACAACCTGCAATGATGGCAGCTACAATAAGCATGCAGCAGGCTGACATGTTACACAGTCAGACTATCAAGTGGCCAATTGCAACTCTTAGTGACAACACAATACCCTAACTAATAAGGCTGTCAATATACACCTACTTAATTAAAATTTTATAATGTTTAGATCATCCTTTACCAGGAGCTACATTGTAATCTAGCTCATTTCCTGAATTAAGAGCTATATTTACATATAATACCATACCTATAATGAATAATAAGAAATCAATTTATAACACAGTCATACAGTCAGGGCTGCTTTCTAAATCATGATAGGATTTGAGGCAGTGACAAAACAGATTTCACTTATCAGAAATACACTATATTTTATATCCAGTAGAGAAATGAATGAATGTATTCCAGAGTAGAGAGGGAGTGGTATAGTTTATGTAGCTAGAAGTATTATTGATATTCAAAATAGATATTAAAGATAAAAACAAAGAAAATATATTTCATGTGAATAAATTTTGCTTGATAATAATCATCAAAAGTAGGTTTAGTGTTTAAGAATAAACAAGATAATGAACTGCTGTGTGTGTATAACATAATTGTTAAAAGAGGAGTCCAAGGATAGCAAAGGCAATCATTTAAAGAGCAGCAAAAGGATACAACCCATTAGCAGAACTGGTGGTGGGAGTAGGAATACTAGTGCCAGTAGGGGTACTAGTGTTGGTAGGGGTACTAGTGTTGGTAGGGGTACTAGTGCTGGTAGGGGTACTAGTGTTGGTAGGGGTACTAGTGCTGGTAGGGGTACTAGTGCTGGTAGGGGTACTAGTGCTGGTAGGGGTACTAGTGTTGGTAGGGGTACTGGTGCTGGTAGGGGTACTAGTGCTGGTAGGGGTACTGGTGCTGGTAGGGGTACTGGTGCTGGTAGGGGTACTGGTGCTGGTAGGGGTACTGGTGCTGGTAGGGGTACTGGTGCTGGTAGAGGTACTGGTGCTGGTAGGGGTACTGGTGCTGGTAGGGGTACTGGTGCTGGTAGGGGTACTGGTGCTGGTAGGAGTACTGGTGCTGGTAGGGGTACTGGTGCTGGTAGGGGTACTAGTGCTGGTAGGGGTACTAGTGCTGGTAGGGGTACTAGTACTGGTGGTAGGGGTACTAGTGCTGGGTACTAGTGCTGGTAGAGGCTGCTCTTCCTTCACTGGATGATGACTCCGGAATGTTACCACCCAGACCAAGAGGGGTGCGATTGCAAGTTTGTGGTATGTTATTCAGCTCAGCAGTACAATTAAATACTTGCTTAGGAGCAGCATGTTTGAAGACTCCTTTACTGCAGACAGAAGCTACAAGAAAGAAGAAGAGTGTACACTTGATGAGGACAGGAGCAGTAGACATTATATTGATTGCTGGAGTATTGTCCTTCCTTAGGTGTTCCTTTAGTTTTGCTGTGGGTTAGAGTAGCAACACAACACTCCTTTTATAGACACTTCAAGAATTAAAATTCATTTCAAGAGATTGAAGCTATAACTATAGTGATATTGCACTCAATAAATAAATATTAGCATTATAAAGTAGAAATTTGCACCTAGTAATATCCTTTTTGCATGCATACCATATGCATCAGAAAATGAAATGAAATACTGACCATGTGTACTTAATTTGACCCATGATCTTTGGCCAAATTTCTAGCAACTTTAAAAATTCATAAGAAATTACATTAGAGTTCAATTATCTTATATTTCCTACTACATTGAAAGTAAGGAATCTAGTTTCTACAGTAAACAAATATTTAATCAGAACAATAATGTAATGCTCATTCAGACTGCACATTAAATGGGACACCTACGGTGCTTGGACTTGCCGCAGTTGTCAGTCAGTAAATATATTTAATCGTAAAATGATCCACATGTTACAGAAGCATATTACCTCTATTATTTACCCAAATAAATAAAGTTTGTGCTCCTAATATTAGAATCACAATAGGATTTTGAAGCAGAAACTAAACAGATTTCACCTATAACATATTGTATCCAGTAGAGAAATAAATGTATTTCATGCAGAGTAGAGAGGGAGTGATAGATCTATATGGTCTGCTAAGTTTATGTAGCTATAGAAAAGAGGACATGGTTGTAGTGTGTAATCATCATAACTAGCCTCTGGCACTATTGATTGTTTACAACCAGAGGCTATACTATAGTACAAAAGAGATGCATGCATGTACAGAATAATCAACTGTCTGGAATACTTTACATTATCTACTATGATCTACTATAAAACAAGAGGAATGAAGTGTTAATTGTGCATAAATGCTTCAAACATGTTCCTTGTCATTTTCATAAGTATTAGTGACATTCAAAATAGATTTTAAATGTAAATAAATTTCGCTTAATGATCAACAAAAAATTTAATAGGTTTAGTGTTTAAGAATGAACAAGATAATGAACTACTGTGTGTGCATAACATAATTAGTATTCAGTTAAGTTTATTGTTAAAAGAGGAGTCCAAGGATAGCAAAGGCAATCATTGAGAGAGCAGCAAAAGGATACAACCCATTAGCAGGACTGGAACTACAAGGAGGATCAAAAGTTACTCTACAGTCCTGTTGATTAGGATAGATACCAGCAGCACAGCAACCCAGCCTTGAAGAGTAAGTAGAAAGGTCATCATAACAAGATTGGGGGGTTGTAGCATTGCAGACCATTGTTAAATCATTGTTTAAATCAGGGCAAGTATCAAGACCAGGGAGAGTATCATTCACACGAAGTACTCTAACATAGCAGTATTCTCCATCATCTTCTCCGCAATAAAAATTTCGTACAAAATTTGAAAAATAATTTTGAAAAGCACTGGATGAGTTACCAAATATGGGATGTGAATAAATACACCGAAAATACTGTACAGCTGGTTCAATGCAGGCAGGAGTACAGGTTTGAGCAAAAGCTGCATTTAGAGCTGCTCTTCCTTCACTGGATGAAGGCTCTGGAATGTCACCACCCAGACCGAGAAGGGCACGATTGCAAGTTTGCGGCAGGCTGTTGTTCAGCTGAGTGGTACAATTATCAAACAGGCTTCCATGTTTAGGAGCAGCATGTTTGAAGACTCCTTTACTGCAGACAGAAGCTACAAGAAAGAAGAAGAGTGTACACTTGATGAGGGCAGGAGCAGTAGACATTATATTGATTGCTGGAGTATTGTCCTTCCTTAAGGTATTCCTTTAGTTTTGCTGTGAGTTAGAAGAGCAACACAACACTCCTTTTATAGATGCTTCAAAAATTAAAATTAATTTTAAGAGATTGAAACTATGAACTCAATTTGAATGGTGATATAATTGCAGTCAATTAATCAGGATAACATAGTACAAGTGAACTTTGCACTTAAATGACAATATCCTTCTTGCATGCATATGAATCAGAAAATGTAATAAAATGAAGAATTTCTCTTAGCTGTGTACTTAATTTGGCCCATGGTCTTTGGCCAAACTTTTAGCACCTTTAAAAAGTTCATAAAAATCCAATTTTTATTGGAATCAACTATTATTATATTTAATATCTAATTTACTTTAAGGTTCAATTATTTTATGCTTCCTACTACATTGAAATTAAGGAAACTGATTTCCACGGTAAACAAATATTTAATCAGAACAATGATTTTATATGTTTATGGGAACCAATTCAGCCAATTTTAAAGGACCCAGTAGGAGAGGGCAAATATTTTGCTCATAATATCCTCCTCCAGCTTATTGCTACCATTTCTTAATTTGGCCTGCAACAGCTCCTTCAGTGCAAATGATGGCAGCTGCAATAAACAAGCAGCAGGCTGAGAAAACAGACATGTTGATACAGTCAAATTATGAAGTGATCCAACTTTATGAAAATGCTCAGGCATATGGTGTAGATACACAGTAATACCTTCCAATCCCTTTCATTTAATAATAATAATTATTATTATTATTATTTACTCTATTATCTATGCATATACGCATGATACAAATGAGCCACGCCCATAAGACGCGAGGGCCGGGCCGAGGCTGGTGGTGAGTGAAAATGTCACTTTCCAAGTGGCACATTCTCTCACTATCAAAAGCAGAGTTCTTGGACGACATAAAGTGGGTAACTGTGTTCGGACCGAGTGGAAACGAAGCCATATTGGTCACCCAAAGCAACGAGCTATACGCCATTGGAACCAATGGAAACTGTTGCTTGGGACTTGGGACTCCGATCACTCCTGGCTTTACACCAAAGAGGATAGAGTCACTGAAAGGATTGAGTAAGCAGCCTGGTTCAGCTATTGCACTATGCAAAAAATGTCGCTTAAGTACTTACTGTGCACTTTATGTATTGCTGTTTTTTTATCTGAATGTCCCAGCATTTATTTTTGCATATTTCTCTATTCTTTTCCTTCAGATATTTCCTCCATAGCCTATGGCAGTGATCCACATGTACTAGCATTGACCGAGGATGGTACAATATATGCTTGGGGTGCTAATGGCTACGGGCAGTTAGGGCGTGGCTCCACATCGGTCCACTCTAATCTACCAAAACCAGTTAATCATGCACTTGGAGGTGTGATTGTGTCTAAGGTTGCTTGTGGTGGGTTTCACTCGCTTGCTCTCAGCAATAAAGGAGATGTAAGTTATAATGAGTATATTATACACACTGTACATGTAGTTGTAGTAAATTATGCTGCCAATTTTAACTAAGCAGTTTCCTACTCGTGTATTATGTAGTAGTGCATATAGTTTGCTTTATTTCTTAATCCTTTCTATTTAATTCTTTGGAGGTCTTTTATGTGTTTTTTGTGCGACTCTGTACCACTTCAATAGCTTGATCTGTATTCACTTTTAATGAACCTATTAATGATTATACACTCGCTGTATGTTACTGTATTGCCAGGTGTATTCGTGGGGATTCAACAACTGTGGACAGCTAGGCTGTGGTGATACAACCAGTAGGTATAATCCTAATAGGGTCACTGGATTACTTGGTGAGTATCATTGGACCCAGACTGTATCAACTTGATATGTGTAGTCTACAGTGTTATAGTAAACTACACAATGTGAGTGTTTGTTGTGCTTGAGTAAGCATGACAGGATTCTCATTAAGTATATGTACATGTATCTTTCTCTTTTCATTTTAAATTATTTTTCTCATCCCTCCCCCCTCTCTCTCTCTACAGATGGGAAGACTTGCATTCATGTAACGTGTAATCACACTTCCTCTTTTGCTCTTACAGGCGAAGGAGAGGTAACATTATTATTATTATTTATATTTATAGGCTACAATATTCAGTGTTATTACACGTGTACAGTACAATAATCATTATCATGAATTAATTAGTTACCATGGTGAAATATAATTATAATTACAATGTGCTCATCCACATAGGGCGGAGTATTCTTAATAGGTTATTAGTTCTTTCCTACTCTTATGTTGTGTAGAAAGTTTCAGCTCATTCTCATTGAAGTTGGATTTCCTACAAAATAGAGCCAAAGTCCATGTACTATAGTACAGGAACTTGGGCCAAATTTTTGCCAAAAATGGTTGGATGAGATTTCTCTATTTTTATAATTTTTTCTGATACATATTCATGTTTTTATGTTGTGTAGCAAGTTTGAGCTGAGTCCGATCAAAATTAGATTTTTTACGAATTTTTAAAGTTGCTCTAAAATTGAGCCAAAGACCCTGTACTATAGTACAGGGTCTTCGGCCAAATTTTGCCAAAAATGAAAAGGATAAAATTTTTTATTTTTATAATTTTTTTTGATGCATATACATGTTCTTATGTTGTTTTTAAGTTTTCAGCTGATTCCAATCAAAATTGGATTTTTTATGAATTTTTGAAATTCCTTTTCCTTCATTAGATATTATCTTGGGGTCAGAATGGCAGTGGACAGCTTGGCATTGGCTCCACATTACAGCAGCTTCAACCAGTCAACGTTCAGATCAATGATGCATTTATTGATCAGGTACATGTATACAATGTACATGTACATGTTACATATACATTATTTTTAATGATAGCACAAGAATAAAATTTGCATCATTATTGAAGCTACACACTCATGTATATGTACATGTACATGTGCATGTATATGCATTATTGTTCTAAATCTTAAGTTGAATAGGAGACAGAAGAAAAGCTTATTACATGTACATGTACATACATGTACATATATTATTATTATTTTATTAATTATTGTAGATAGTGACGGGGTACTCACATGCTCTTGCATTGAGTGAATGCGGCTCAATTTATGCTTGGGGTGCAAACACTCATGGTCAGCTTGGAAATGCTTCAAAGCAATGCGTATCATCACCAACGATCATTAACAACATTGGAAGGTTAGGAAAGTACATGTACATGTACATCTACATGTAATTTTATTGAGAGTAGAAAATATGCATGTATAATAATTATTAATAATTATTACAAATAATCATTAATTAAATGAAGCAGGAGTTAATGCCTGCTAAGTGTCTTACATGTATTTGCTCGAATCCCGTTTAATGTGTAAAATTTTACGCCTTTGGAAAAATTTATACCTCACGAAACTGTAAATAAGAACAAATTGTGATTGATGATGATGATAATAATGAATTTTAAGTTTAAAGATACGGTACTTGTGTAGTATAGTACAGCACATGTATAGTCATTGTAATTTCAGTCCTGAACAAAATTGTATCATTTTTAGAGCATCAGAAGTTGCTGCTATTCACTTATCTCACATTTCAGCTGCAACCATCAGTGGAAAGGTACATGTACTGTACATGTACATGTACATTGTACATGTACATGTATTTCTATCATTACATTGTCAATACATACTGTACATTATTGAGTATTACTATTACAGGAATGCTAGCTATATACACTGTATATAACATATATTATTTGTTCTTAGATATTGTTCTTCATTTTGTTCTTAGGTATATATTTGGGGCGAATGCTGTCATCAGAATGTGTGTGCTCCTCTTGTAACTGATTTCAATAGCATTGATGAAGTGTTTGCTTGTCTCTCTTCTCCAAGTTGCTCATGGAGACCATTCATGAACAGTGAGCTTTAGTCTCTCTCTCTCTTGGTTTTTTATATCATACTCTCCCCCCCCCCAATTGTTTTTCTCACTCTCCCTCTCTTAGTATTACCTAAGAAAGATTTATCTAGTTGCATTGAGAACAGGTTCAACGATAAGGTACAGTATATGAAATTACAGCAACTTACATGTACATGTACATGTATTATGTACCCAGTTTGACTGGTTTTAATTTCTCCATCCTGTACATGCTGATATGGTTAATAGATAATAGATACATAATTATACATGTGTCTCTCTTATTGTTCATAGGAGACATCAGATATGGTGTTTATTGTAGAGGGCAATCACATTTACGTTCACAGGGTCATCCTGAGAATGAGATGTGCCTACTTTTACTCCATGCTGCAGAATGGGAAATGGAAGGAAAGTGAAATGGAGTGAGTACTGTATTGTGAGAAGCAGTTTTATATGTACACATGTACATTATATCTGCACATACTAGATGTACATGTACATGTACATGTATGTACCTACATGTATGTGATATTTATTTTTCTGCAGTACTTTTGAGATCAATGATTATCCTTACCACATATTCAAAGCCTTCGTCAGCTATTTCTATACTGATAATGTTGACCTACCAAATGAGGACATACCAGGTTTGTGTGCTTTTAATCAAAAGAATGAAGTAATTATGATATAAACCAGAGAGTATATAAGGTGTCATTGCTAATATATGTACAGTACATGTACATGGACATTATTATTATTTTTATGCTCATACCAGACGCTAATGGTCATAATGAAATAGTCAGATTGCAGTCGATTTGTTGAGAATTGCAAACCACAACTGGAAGTGGTTGTAGAATAAACTGTTAGTGATTTGATTTGCTTGTAAAATGCTTATGCTAATAATTATAATACTAATCTCTTATCAATTAACATGAGGGAGATATGAAATTGTTTGTATTAGGGTAAACATTTTCATGTAATAATTTTTTTTTCATTTATTATTATTTTGATTGATTTTTAGATTTGTTAGAACTCTCTGATTGCTATTGTGAGACGGAGCTAAAGAAGAAATGTGAATTATTATTAAAGAGAACAATCTCTGTTGAGAATGCGATTGCATTATACACTATAGCACTAAGATACCAAGCTAAGGTAGTGTACATAATGTAGATGTACTGTATCCACACTTCCACCCAATAGTTCTGTGCTACAAATACAAGTACACATGAATGTTAATAATGCTTTACATACACAGTGTAGCTAGCCTTTTCTCTTCAAAAATAAAATTGTACCCTAGCAATTAGAATGTAGAGTGGTTCTAATCTACAATGTAATTCCAGTTCTAATTTAGTTCCAGTTCTAATTATTATTATAGGCTTACAGTTATTAGTTTTACCAGCTCTTTATTGTGCCAACCTTGTGGTCTGTAACCTAATGAGAGCTGCTGTATGATTATCCATTAGTACAATTGTTGAGTCTAGCTACACATGTACACTAAGCACTGTGATCTTAATACCTAATGTAGAGTGCTGTGTTATATCATTATATTATGTTCTATTCTAGGAGTTGCAAGAATGCTCATTTCGGTACATCACCAGACACTGCAGTGCAGTGATACTTAGTAAGGACTTTATTGGGATGGAGGAGTCAATTTCTAAGAAGTTGTTGGTGAGTCTTGCTGAGGCAGGAGTCTTCAAGAGTTAGAAATGAAGTGCATTTTAGTACTTCATTTTTTGGTAGTTTTTCTGATCTATTTTTTGTTTCTTTTTGTGATTTTTATGGCAGCTTATCCACTTAAAATTTGATATACCAGATAGACAGTTGTATTAGAATTATTTATCATTGTTATTATTATCATATAGACTTGTTTATTTTTGTTTATGTAAATATTATTTATTACAAAAATAGTATTAATTTAAAAAATAGTTTTATGGGTATACTGTAATGTACAGTGCAACATTGCAATGTTGGATCTAGACTAAAATGTCTTCTATATTACTCTATTGTTGTAAAATTGTAATATTAGCTACTCATAATACATTACAATAGTTTGAAATGTGATGACTTATGAAGAAATTATGAATATCCGCATAATCTACCGGGAACCGTACACGAAAAAAATCCGGACGTGAGCGGTCCCCGGGGAGGATGGAGATATAAAGTAGAGCCTCTTAGCATCACAAAAAAACCGAAGAAACTACATCAATAGAGAAGGACCTCCCCGGCTTTTAAACTCTCAAAGAAGCTCTCTGCAGTTTTGCTTGAAGACCCTGTACTACACGGTGGAGAAAATCACTCACGCGTGCTCTAGCTCCCGAGAGAAAGAGAGCTGGTCATGTCAGGCTCTCCTTTGCTAATGGACGATGATCCTATGAGAGGAGATCACGAAACGACAGGCTCTGCTCCTCCTTCCCTTCCTCTACCTACACAGAATGAAATGTCATCGAAAGACATGGAGATTATCAAGAGCCTAGACAGGTAAGAACATTGTGTACATGAATTATTTTAAGCTGTTCCTTAATGTCTCCTTTTATCTTTAGTCGATCCTTTGGTTTTCTTGATCTACACGTCATTCCAAAGAACTCTCATCATCGTACCTCCTCCAGCTCTCATCATTCTAACTCTGGAAACTCAATCTCTGACTTTGTCTCCAGACAATTCATTGCAAAGGTTGTTATTATCATCATTATCGTCATCATTATTGCTGTTGTTGTTGTTATTATTATTATTGTTGTTATTATTATTGTTATTATCATTTATTGTGTGCTAAGCTAGTAGCTGTTCTTGTTATTTTTTATTAAAATGAAGGTTGCCTATATTTATGGGGAAATGAGACGTACAGATGTTTCATTTTCTATTTCTCTCCCTTTCTCTCCTTCTCCTAACTCTCTGCACACACGCAGGGCATTGCTGTCCTCCAGTCTCAGTTACAGAATTGCAATGAAACCACGAAACCTTCTCTCCTCTGTCAAATCGGTCATCTTCACTTGCTCCTTGAGCAGTACCCTGAAGGTATTATGAACATAAAAGCACTATTGTTGATATTTTAATCTAATATTGTGCACTTTATAGATCATAGAGAGAGAGAGAGAGAGAGAGAGTGGGGGAGGGAGGTATGTATGTGTGTGTGTGTGTGTGTGTGTGTGTTTTGCCTGCCTTGGGTGTGAAATTGCTATAATATGTCATGTGGGCTTGAGTAGAGCCTAAAGCTTCTTTACACATTGTTGGGATGTTGTAAAAGGAGAGAGAGAGAGGAAGAGGGATGTAGACCAGCAAGTAAAAGAGAGGGAGACGAGAAGACTAGAAGAGGGCAAGAGCAAATGGGAGACAGATAGGTTTTGTGGGAGAGACAGAAAGAAAGAATATATCATTAGTGGTTTGTTTGTTCTTCTTTGTAGCTTTGTCTGCTTATCAAAATTACAGTCTTTTGAGTACTGACTGCTCATTCAACACCTCCTATCTCTATGGAATCGCTCTAGTCTATTTTGCCTATGGAAAATACGACTGGTATAATACTAGCATTATTTAAAACTTCAGCCTTTATATAATTCTTCTTTTTTTAATTGCCCTCTTCTCCTTCTCTTTGAACGACTCAGGTCTCTCTCTGCTTTTCTTAAAATCCTCTCGCTTTCTCCTGACTTTGCTCGCTTGAGTGAAGTACACATACGAATGGCCATGATGTACAAAGATAATGGAGAGTTGAAAAAAGCAATGGAGGTACAACAATATTCATAATATCCTAATACTAAGCACATGCAATCTTCTCTTTTCTTTCTTTAGCACTTTGGTCAAGCTTATACTAGTGCTGGTCCTTGCAGCATGTCAAGATTAGAAGGTACAGTTTAGCTATAATTCTATAAACTGTCCATATATTGTACATTGTGAATGAATGTGTAATGAAATCTCACCATCTCTCACTATTTTTTCTTACTAACATACCACCCACACTTACTCTGTTTTCCATTATATCCTTATCATTTCATTGTCATTCATTATACATTGTGAATGAATGTGTAATGAAATCTCACCATCTCTCACTATTTTTTCTTACTAACATACCACCCACACTTACTCTGTTTTCCATTATATCCTTATCATTTCATTGTCATTCATTATCTCTCTCTCCTCCACTACTACTCTCTATCATACAGTTCAGTTTCACATCGGTCACTTGTATTTCATGAGAGGAGACTACACTCGCTCTAAGCATTGCTTTGAATCAATACTTGCTTCCAAGAATGTCCCAAACATTATTAAAGGACTAGCATTAAGGCAACTAGGTAAGATACACTTATATTATGTTGCATTAGATGGTGTTGCATTTGAGTATACCTTCTATAGTATTGTACTCAGGTAAACTGAGATTCTTATGTGTTCTTGTATTGTGGTATTCAGTAAAGTAGCAATTGTAGCATGAGTTAGCTTTGCTCCATTTAATAGTGTACTATTGCATTGAATTGTACAGGTCTAATTTACATGTATTTCATTGTATTGTATGAAAGATTCACGTATTTATTGAAACTGATGACATTATGATGTACTATAATTGCACAAAGGGCCCAAATCAGCTGATTTTACATCTTGTTGTTTAGCCAAAAGTCCTAATTATCAACACGTCCGACCGCTAAACATAGATTAATCACTTCCAATAGTATTTTTAAGAAGTACCATACACTTTGTATGTATGTGTACATGTATGTACATGTACTTTTAAATCATTTGATTGTGAATGTGAATCAGTTTATGGACTGAGAGGTGTACTTCCTTCCTTCCTGTTTTGATTTAGTTTTTTTGTAATTTGTCCTTTGAGGTCTTGCTCTTGATCTCTTTCAAAACCCCCTCTTTCTGTCTCGTCTCATCTTGTCTGTCTCTCTCTCTCCTCCTCTCCCTCTCTCTCTTATTCTCCACAGGTTGGTTGTATCACACAGTACCTCAGGTTGCTTCTCACGGCGAGACTCCGAACATCAAAGCAATTGAGTTACTCAAACTAGCCGTTGGGGCTAACCCCTCCTGTGGTCAAGCCTGGTACTTTCTTGGTCGGTGTCACGCTGATCAGGGACAGTTCAAGGAAGCCTTTGTGGCTTATAGACAATCAATAAATAAAGTGGAGAAACAGCCAGACACATGGTGTGCGATTGGGTAAATCTTCATAAAACCTTGAAATAGTTTTTAAAACTCTTATCCAACTCTCTCTCTCTCTCTCAGTATTCTTTATCAGCAGATGGGTCAAGCTAGGGATAGCCTCCAAGCCTACATTACTGCGATATACTTTGATATCACGCACACGGCAACATGGACAGACCTTGGCCTTCTCTATGAATCATGTGGACACTTAGTGTATGAAAACAATAATATCATACAATACTATATCACTTCTCTCTCCCCTCACTCTCTCTTCCCCCCCTCCCTCTTTCTCTTAATAGTGATAGTCTTCTTTGCTACAAGAACGGTCTGGCTGGTCTTGATAAAAAAGGAGGAGGAGGAGGTGAAGGAGAAGAAAAGTCAAGAAAATCCACACACCTGTCTCAGCACGACAGTGTCACGGAGATGCTTATGAGTCGTCTCACGTTTGTCGAGCAGCACATTCAACAGACTGGGGGACTAGCAGTACACAGCTCCAGACCAAGGCAAGTTATACTATAACATGGAGGAAGGAGAGAGGAAGGGGGATATCATATGGAGGAAGTATAGTAATAGGAGGAAGTAGAGAGATACTTGTATATGTACACAATACATGTACACCATTATATTGTACATTAGCTATACCCAGTCCATATATGGCACTGGGCGTTCCTTTTAATTTTTAATGTGTAAATAAGAGTTTTGATAAAACGAGCTTTTCTTTGAATGGGCACTATGTCCGTTAGCACTAGTATTGACCCAATGATTGCTGGTATTACATGTACATGTATGTACAATGTCCATGCATGTACATGTACGTATACTGTATGCTTTATTTATGTACACACGTACTACTCTAAGTGAAAGTGGCCTAGGAGGCTATGTGGTTATGGTCATGGCTTCGTTTATGTCTACAGATCCACCTCTGTAATAATTACTGAGAATTATTTGTACATGTACATGTTCATGGAATATAATATTATTAATATTTTTATACAAAAAATTGTTGTAGTGTTTTCTTTTGTGTGTGTATTAATTGCACACTCTTTTGGATGACACTTCAGTTTAATTGAATAATTCTCATTGTTATGTACTACATGTACATGCATGTACATGTACATGTATAAGTATGTTTAGATGAGTCTGTTATTTTACTGCATGTTTAGATCTGTCTTGCCTTCACTGCAAGAAGCTTGGACTACACTTGTCCCTCAGCACTTTAAGCTCCAGTATCCAAACAATGAG